ACTGTCTCACAGTACAAACGCTGGTTCATAATATACGTTTATAAAAAACGTTAAATCTGTCATAAACCTATTTATTTATTATTTATTTAACTCTTTATTGCACCATAAATAAAAATATACAATGACAAGTGAATAATTCAAGTGAAATACAGTAACATAAATACAGATTGAAATATACACATAAAGGTACAAAAGGCGGTGTTATCGCTAGGGCAATCTCTTACAGACAACCTTTGGTTAAAGGAGAACAGATAGAAGTGGGCAGGTGGCGCAACAGTGAATTAATAATTTTTCGTGCATAAAATACAAAAACCTATTATTTATTATTAAATTCTCAAATTGACAGAAAATAAAACAGTGTAATAAATAAAATAGAATTGTAAAGGATTTTAGTCTTTATGAATGAGACAGAAGGAGACTTTGTACAAAAGTCGATTGCTTGGGTACCTCTGTCCCATTCGTGTTTCAACCGTGAAGCAGTTGTGTTTGCATAGCTGTGATTTGAAGGTTGGGATATGCCGTGAATTTACAGGGTACAGAAGAATAACACCTGAGTCCTCAGGAATGGTAACGCATGGGGGTATCATGGGTGAAACAGTATACTCTGTTATGTCCATGGTACTGCTCATGTCTATAGGCGACGGTTACCACTTTCCATCAGGTGGGCCGTCAGCTTGTTTGCCATTCTAAGTTGTATAAAAAAAAGTCAATTTGCCTCCCTCTGGTGTACAACATATGCAGTGTATATGCAAGTTTTATGCATGCACTCACTTATACACTTACGAAATATGTATGATCGGAAAATGACCTTAATGTTCGGTAAGCTGTAAACAATTTAAAATATCAGATGTATGTAATTATGCTAAGACGATGCATCTCCAAACATTGTAAGTAGGTGTAATATGCTTAATTGTACTCGTCACTAGGTTACTAGTGCGTATAGCGTTATTGTTCGTTTTAATAAAACATAATGACAACGTAAACAGACGTACTCACCTGACCATAACCGGCGCGCTGTCAAATAGTAGCGCGAATAAGGTATCGATTCATCGATTTAATGTTTCGATCTGTTAATCATTTTTTTTAAACAATGTTTGCGTGACAATTTTAAAACATGTTCGTAATCAGCGGGTCTACCATGAAATAAAATGCTGAAATTTCGGACTCATTTTCGTGTTTTTGTTTACACCAAAATCGGACCAATAAATGGAGTTTAACATTTCGTTCGTCATACATCCTATCATAAAAGTCCAAAGGAACAATATTTTAACATTTTTTAATAGTTCCAAACGGCATGTATTATGTAATTTTAACATCACAACATCACATTTGTGTTTCGTTTGGCTCTAAAATTTCGGAAAACACTTCATGGCCCACTGAGGTCCTACCATAATTTTTTTTCCGAAATTTCGAGACCGAACGAAACACAAATTTGATGTTAAAATCACATGATACAAATTGTTTGAAAACTATTAATAATGTTATAATATAAGTCCTTTGGACTTTTATGGTAAGATTTATGACGAACTTAATTTTAAGCTCCATCTAATGGATTGATTTCGGTGTTCATTACGTTATTTGTAGTGATGTAGTCATTTGTAAATTGTCTAATATTATACAAATAAATTGGCAATTGTCAATTTATTTCTGAGAGCCAACATTAATGTTGGGCCAAGGAATGAAACTGAACTTTGTCTATTCTTTCAATATACGATAGATTGAGTCAGAGGGTCTACTATGAAATAAAATTCAAATTTTCGAACTTAATTTCGTGTTTTTTGTTCGTACGGAAATCGATCAAGTAAATGGAGCTTAATGATTCGGGGTCATAAAAACTCAGTCCGTCCTATCATAAAAGTCCAAAGAAACGATATTTTAACATTATTATATATATATTTTTAAACAATATCTAACAAATTAACATCAAATCTGTAAATTTAACACCAAATTTGTGTTTTTTTCGGCCCCGAAATTTCGGAAAACATTTCATGGTCGACCCTCTACGGCCCACCATGACGAATTCACCAGGGTTCAACCACGTTCGTTTCCAGAGAGACCGCGCTCTTATTTTATTATATATAAAAAACTCATGTCACGATGTTCGGCCACGCTAATCTCCGGTATTATTTTTCCTATTTTAATGAAATTTTGTAAATGTATATTAATTATTTGACCATTTTGAAAGATATAATAGTTTTTTATCTCGATAAATGGTCTACAAAGAGCAAAACAGCATTAGCATAGTCATCTAGTATATATGTAGGTAATATAGAGGTGAGCGCAAAGGTGGACACGTTGCTTTGCGTAAACGAGGTCCCGAATTTAGTTCCCGACCAGACCATGTTAGGAAATGTCCTTTTCTGAACTGGCTCGAGTTTGAGTGTTGTGGCTTGTGTCCTCAAGTATTCGATATCTTTTTTTCTTTATACCACTGAGATGGCAAACAAGCATACGGCCCACCTGATGGTAAGCGGTTATCATAGCCTATGAACATCTGCAATACCAGGGGTATTACGCGCGTGTTGCTGACCCTGAAGAAACCTCTTTAGCCCCCTTTTGAAGAACCCCATGCTGTAGTCTCTTGGGAAAACCTCGGCAAGAAGCTCATTCCATAACCTGAGTCTTCGTGGGAGGAAACATTCGTTATCGGGTTCTCAATAAGATGTGAAATGTAATTAGGTAATGTTTATGATTTTTGAAAAAAAAAACTGAGGATAGTAATAACTTTCATATAAAAAACACTATCCGAGATAACATAGCATCTTTCTCTCTCTCGAAAGTCAAGGCATATACAGCGGGTCTACCATGAAATGTTTTCCGAAATTTCGGAGCCAAACGAAACACAAATTTGACGTTAAAATTACATAACACATGCCGTTTGGAAATATTAAAATATTGTTCCTTTGGACTTTTACGATAGGATGTATGACGAACGAAATGTTAAACTCCATTTATTGATCCGATTTTGGTATAAACAAAAACACGAAATTGAGTCCGAAATTTCGGAATATCATTTTATGGTAGACCCGCATAGTTCATAACGGTGACTCGAATTATCGACGTGTGACCAGTCGTTACTCGGAGTGACCGCTCGAAAATTGGATGCAAATTCGTAACTCACGCTCTATGAACTAGCAGCGATATTATTCATTACATATAACTACTAGTAGTATAACTATGCTGTTATAATCCGCTACATTTGCAGTAAACTCCATGACTATGGAGATTTTATTACTCATTTTAATTAGAATAAAGGGGCATCCATTAATTCCATAAGCCAGGCAGTCTGAATAAATCTCCCTAAGTATCATTTATAAGAAAGTAAATGAAAAATTTCAATACTCTCTTTGTTTAATTGAAGTAAATAAAATCTCATATGTCTACATAATAATAGTTTACCAGAGGGAGACTTTGTACAAAAGTCGTTTGCTTGGGTACCTCTGTCCCATTCGTGTTTCAACCATGAAGCAGTTGCGTTTGCATGGCTGTGTTTCGGTTTGAAGGGTGGGATATGGCGTGAATTTACAGGGTACAGAGGAATAACACCTGAGTCCTCAGGAATGGTAACGCATGGGGGGTATCATGAGCGAAACAGTATACTCTGTTATGTCCACGGTACTGCTCATGTCAATAGGCGACGGTTACCACTTTCCATGAGGTGGGCCGTCAGCTTGTTTGCCATTCTAAGTCGAATATAAACATAAAAAAGTTTAAAATTCACAAGTATATATCACGTATAGAAATTATCGTGTAAGACAGATCTCTTCATACCAAAGCACAAAAAAAGGTTATATTAAAAATCTCTCATTTTACGGACTTAGGTATTTGATGTGCCTACGTACATAATACGTACGTGATTCGGGGCACGTATTATGCTATTGTTGGGCAGGCCAGCAACACTTGATAGAACACGTTCACTCTCACAATGAGAGACTGGAACAATGTGTTCAGTGGGAGAGCACACTTTTTTACCTCTCTGAGCAAAAGTAATGTAAAAAAAGGCGCAACAGAATCAGTGCATCTCTGTACAAGAACAATCAAAAAATTTGCCCTGACAATCTAAAGCCGGCCCTGTTTTGTGGTCACGCGTTCGATTCCGCGTGCACAGCTATGTAGTGCGACACATAAATTGCTCTCCTCAACTGTAACTGTTCATAGTAATTCACATGGTAAATGAAGCGAATGCGAACAAACGAAGTCACGTGTAGAAACTAGTTCTCGATGCGAGTGAACCATATAATATAACCGTTGCAACGTCGTCGAAATGATCAGCGCAGGTTCACGGCAAACGGATTCCCGTTTTTAGGGTTCCGTATTTCAATAATAAAGATGGATACCTAGCATTGGTCACGGTAGGTCTGTTTGTAATATTTTTTACTTAGACAACTTATAGTTCATGAGTCTTACTCGCAAATTTCTCCTTTTAACTGGCATTCAAGATTCCAAGTTTTTATTTCAAAAACATGCGTATAAATAATGTTAATTGTACTAAAACAAAACTAAAAATTGTACCTAAATGATAAAATTGTATAACGGACTGGAAATGGCAATAAATATGGACTAAATTAGCCACTCACCGACTTCTACGATACAGGCCTGCGAGCCTAGTGTAGTAAACACTGTTTAGTAAATTGTGTACGTGCATTTTAGTTGAAATAAAGTTATATAAATAAATGCAGATTAGAACAGAAAGATGGCTTTTTTATGGGAAAATAATGATATGGTAACCCCGCCTGCCTTACCAATATTTAGGCGTAAATTTACTGGGTACAGAGAAATAACATCTGAGTCCTCAGGAATGGTAACTCATGGGGGGTATCATGGACGAAAGAGTATAATCTGTTATGTTCATGGTACTGCTCATGTCTATAGGCGACGGTTACCACTTTCCATAAGGTGGGAAGTCAGCTTGTTTGCCATTTTAAGTTACATGAAAAATAGATTGTCACACTGAACACTTTGTAAATACAATATTTTACAATATAATTGTTCTTTTTCAGTACTGAACGTCGCTGCAGGCAAGGCTCCAATGCAAGCGTCCACTGAAGAGGGTGGGGTGCCACAGAGGGCGCTGGACGGCAGCACCGCTTCCGCCTTCAGCCCGGACACGTGCACCCTCACCAAGGCGGAGCGGGTGCCGTGGTGGTACGTCAACCTGCTGGAACCTTACATGGTGCAGCTGGTGAGGCTCGACTTCGGGAAACCTTGCTGTGGTAAGTTATATGCACAATTTACAACCTCCAAATAAATGAATGATAGAATGAATTAATAAATAAATGAATGAGTTAATGATTTAATGAATAAATTAACGAATTAATGATAGAATTAATGAATGATTTAATGAATGAATGAATGAACGAATGAATGAATGCTATTGATTAAATGTAGTACAATAAGTTGATATGGTAATATTACAAAAGTTGGTTTCACACATTTTCTCATTTTGTCTGTTTCGTATTGTTTGCTTTGTTATTTGTTGTTTTGTATGTATTTACTTTTTTTTATTTCATTTTACCCACTACATCATATGCGTAGATTTCAGAAGTAGGAAAATCAATTTTAAGTTAAAACCATCAGGAATATTACTGTGGAAACCGCATCCAAATTAGTTTTTGTGTGATATTTATTTATTTATTTATTAAATACAAGAAATTTACAACAGCGAGTACATTGGAGCCCGCACTAGGCGAACCTGTATCGCGGGAGTCCATTAAAGATTACCAAGACACGGTGGTTTGTAAATATAAATTATATATATATATATAAATGATATCGAAACAAACATACAGGCAGACAGACAAGATATCTAAAAAATATTGTTTTGTCATCTATTGTTCTAACTACAAAACTAAATACATACTGATTGAAATAACTATCCTTTTTTTAAATGTGTAATCAATAATTAATACAAATCATTTGTAAATATATCGCCGTATGGTAGGTGTAGAATAGGCCACCCCTTCCTTTCGTGTGGGTGTCGTAAGAGGCGGCTAAGGAGACTTAATAGTCGAGTAATGGGCAACAGCGTCACTTTTAAAACATCACCAAAGGCTGGTTGCAGTAGCCAACCCCCTTGTTAAGCTTGGCAACCATTGACAAAATCCCGCTTATGGGAAAGGCAGTTCAGCAGTGGACAGTTAACAGACGGCTACTATGTTATGGTATGGTACTTGTACTATATTCGGCCAACCTTTGAAAAAATAAATATAATAATTTGATTAATCATTATCACCATATCAGCCTTTATCCCCCTTGCGTTGTGTGAAGGGGGGGGGGGGGTCGCCAGTAATTACCACGCTTGGCATCTGGATTAGCAACCGCAGTCCGGCTTTGGAGATGTTTTAAGAGGGACGCTGCTGTCCATCCCTCGCCGTCCCTTAGTCGCCTCTTACGACACTCACGGGAAAGGAAGCGGTGGCCTATACTATGCCGTGACCACACAGCCAGTTTTATCACTGTACCATTTTCATGACAAAGTCTTATTGTAGTAGGCAATAGATAATAAAAAAAAAAACATAGAATATTAAAATGACATTAAATGGTAATACCTGATACTCATACCCGCCTTTCTCTTGTACCTCCATGTTGTTTCTTATTAATAAGTCTTTGTATGTATGTAGAATAGAAACTAAATACATTTTTAACAATGTACCTAATGGCACAATGCTGACACATAAAAAAAATGAAAAAAAAAGTGATGTCAACACTTTCTCTGTTCTTTCCGTATAAGGGGAGATCTTTTGTGCTCAATTGATATGCTTAGGAATGAAATGCAATATACCATTTGGCTGTTTTTTCTTGATGAAACAATAAACACAGAGACATACATAAATTTTCAAAATTACTACATTTGGGAGTGTTTTTTTTATACAACTTAGAATAGCAAACAAGCTGACGGGGCCGTCACACCTGATGGAAAGTGATAACCGTCGCCTATAAACATGAGCAGTACCATGGACATAACAGAGTATACTGTTTCGCCCATGATACCCCCCATGTGTTGCCATTCCTGAGGACTCAGATGTTATTCCACTGTATCCAGTAAATTTACGCCATATCCCACTCTTCAAACCGAAACACAGCTATGCAAACACAACTGCTTCACGGTTGAAACACGAATGGGACAGAGGTACCCAAGCAATCGACTTTTGTACAAAGTCTCCCTCTGGTAGTTTTTTTTTAAATTCTGTTTGCATTTAATAGCTCATTTCCTAAAGAAGGTTAAGAGCTATTCAACCACAGGTATTTTATTATATTTTAGGTACTATATGGTTTAAAGTACATAATTGTCAGGAGTTAAAATACGGTTTAATTTTAGTTTAATTTATAAAAATAGTCAATCACCGAGAATTTTATTCTTAAAATAATACATATATACACACACACACACACACACACACACACACACACACATATACACATATATATATATATATATATATATATACGAGGTTTGTCCGGAAAGTACGTATAAAAGTTTTTTAAAAATTTTATTTTACAATTATTCAGGTAAATCAATTTTATCCCCTTCAAAGTACTCCCCCTGTGACATAATGCACTTGTGCCAACGCCGTTTCCACTGTGAGAAGGCTCCTTGAAAGTCCTCTGGTTGTAGGTTTCTCAGCTGCCCCGTCGTAGCTTTTTTTATCTCATTTATGTCCCCCAAATGCCGCCCCCGAAGTACCAATTTGGTTTTTGGGAACAAGAAGAAGTCACACGGGGCCAAATCCGGCGAATAGGGGGGGTGTTCGGTCACCGTAATGGAATTTTTACTCAAAAACTCACGGAACGATCTTGGCGCAAATTTTTTTCATTTGAAGTTCGTTTCTTAGAATTTCGTGGACCACGGTTTTGCCCAAATTAAGCTCTTCAGCCACCTGTCTGACCGTTAAACGACGGTCCCCATTAACACAAGTTCGAATTCTTTCCACGTTTTCGTCGGAATGTGAAGTGGAAGGACGTCCTGAACGTGGGTCATCTTGAACGCTTTCTCGGCCCTCTCTGAATCTTTTTAGCCACTTGTGGACGGTTGGTTCCTTCACAGCATCATCCCCATGAACTGTTCTGAGATCAGCAAAAATTTCACGGCCATTCTTGCCGAGTTTCGAGAGAAACTTGATTACGACGCGCTGCTCTTCAACGGAAGCGGGCTCCATGCCGACGGGGTTCCGTTAAGAGGTAACTTCACAGATGGCGTGACAAGCCAGTTCGCACCGCACGGCGGTCAGACCAGAACTGAAGCATTGTTAGGGACATAAGGAAGGGGTCCTGCGCTTACCTGGCCTCCCCACTCCTCTTTCTCGCATTCCAGAACACTTTTATACGAACTTTCCGGACAGACCTCGTATATATATATATATATATATATATATATATATATATATATATATATATATATATATATATATATATCATACATACAAAATACATAAACATACACATATAAATACATACATAGCACACACAAGGAAATATGACAAATCTAGTCCAAAAATTACAAAGGAATGGAAAAGAGTAACTACAGTAAAAGAAAATGTGATTTAATATATTGCTTAATATTGCTTAATCTCACATAAATTTTACTATAATTGAACTTAATATTCTCTTGAACTGTAATTTACTAAACATGATACTCACAGGATTTATGTAATTAGTTTAACCGTCGCTTTTTATACATAGTTTAACGAGAAAGCATTAACCGCGACTGTTATTTTGTAACTTGTATGCGGAACTTAAGTTTAAGTTACGTTTAGGTTGCCACTTAACCTGCAATAGAAACCTGATAGAAAGTGGTAACCGTCGCCTATAGACATGAGCAGTGTCATGGACATAACAGAGTATACTGTTTCGCTTATGATACACCCCATGCGTTGCCATTCCTGAGGATTCAGATGTTATTCCTCCGTACCCTGTAAATTCACGCAATATCCCACCCTTGAAACCGAAACACAGCCATGCAAACACAACTGCTTCACGGTAGAAACACGAATAGGACAGAGGTACCCAACTTTGTAGAAAGTCTCCCTCTGATGTTTGCAAGGATTTCATTTTTCCATTTAAGGGAAAGACACGTACATTTAAGATAATAGTTCCGGTGGCTACTAACTTGCATGCGTGAAATACAAATTGCATTTTCTATTTGTGCATTTCCCCTACAGTACAAGTTTAATTCCAGTAAATAGAAAACTTTAATAATATTTTAAACTCTCTTTTTGATCAATACTGCTGACTTACGGGATAGTCCTTCCATTACTTCCTTCAAGAGAAGACTGTAATCACATCTTTTAATTAATTGTACATGATAATTCTATGCACTTATATTATATGTATATATATTTATCTATTTACTTATTTACGTATTTGTTTATTTATATATTTATTCACAATTTGTGTTTGTTGTATTTACATTATTTTCACCGGTACCTTTCCTGCACTGGATTACCCAAATTAAATTATTTTCTCTCTAGCCACACCGGGTTGGCTGGAAGAGATCCCTTTCAGAGATAAGTCCTCCCTTGCTAACAAGTTGTTAAACTAATCGTCGCATGTATTGTTTAAGTGCAATAAAGAATATATATATACTTCGTATACGTGGTTTTCTAAAGTAATAAGACTAATGAAATAACCACATCTAGGTTACATATCAAGATTAAATATCAGGTATTTTAAGTAACTGTGAATACCGCATCCAATTTGCTACGTAATCCCGGAACAGACAGACAGACATGTAGAGGAAATTTCTAAAAAAATATTATTTTAACTTTTAATATCTCATTAAGACCGCTCATATAATTTTTTCTTAAATATCTCCCATGTACAGACATTGTCCAGTTACAAATTTGTTGTATTTATATTCACAGTTAGGTGTCGATAAAATAAAATAAATAATACATAATAAAGTATCTGAAACAGACATGTAATCGACGTCTGTTATACATACTTCATTATGTATTATTGATTGATTGATGTATTTACGGAACTGTTGATTTTTCACTGCTTCGCGACCCCCTAAAGGGTGGTGATCTACATTTTGAAAAACACTGCTCTATCTAAAAATTTTTTTTCTCAGAAATATGCACAATTTTTTAATTTCAATTCTCCATTAATCCGTCTGCGACGCCCAATGGATATAAATGAAATTTCGTAATGCGTTTTCTGCTCTAACTTGATATAATTTTATCCCGATTAGGAAATATCCGACAGATGGCGGTAAGCGGCGAAACATCGTTTGTTGTGTCAGCTAGTTCATATATGTAAACAAACACGAGCCCATTTTAGTCAGTACACTGTTCGTCACGCCACACTGATCCGATAATGTTGATCTTGATCAGCCGGTCTCGTGATCTGCATAACTACTGGAGCATGGACAGACAGACACTGTTAACACAGTAGATACGTGGGGAAGGGATTGTTAATAATGGGATCTAACAGCGCCATTACTAACAGTATACCCTATCAGGTCGACCTCCACGTGGTTCCCCCTGGGAACCATCGTTGTTAATTCTTGTGGAATTCTTCACGATGGGCTCACTGACCTGCTTTCATCGTACTTGTCATTTATCACTGGTGCCCCGCCAGCGTATACCGATAGCGCAGGCAGGATAACCATTCCATTATCATCCATAAAAAAAACATAGTAGATACGGTGGAAGGGATTCGTTACTGACGGGGATTTTAGTCACCATTAAAAAGATCCTATCATATCTCTACTAGGTCCTTCTGAAGATTATGGTGGATATTCTTATGGGATGATAATGAAATGTGTTTCGGTTTGAAGGATGGGATATGGCGTGAATTTACTGGGTACAGAGGAATAACACCTGAGTCCTCAGGAATGGCAATGCATGGGGGGTATCATGGGCGAAACAGTATACTCTGTTATGTCCATGGTACTGCTCATGTCTATAGGTGACGGTTACCACTTTCCATCAGGTGGGCCGTCAGCTTGTTTGCCATTCTAAGTTGTATAAAAAAAAACAAAAACCCCGTCAGCGTACATCAATACTGTAAACGACCACAAATACAATTCCATCCAATAAAAAAAAATCATGCGCTGATGTCATCAGTAGGTATATTAATCAAAATATTTATATATATTTATATACATGTAAATAATAAGTAAAAAAATAATTATACAACCTGGATAGATTATAACAAACTAGAGTTATATTGGACAGTAAAAAATATGCTCACGGCTTTAGTCCTTAACGAGCTTCTACACAGACAATCTCTTAAAACACCCATACTTCGAAATCAAAGGTCCCGGATCGATATACATTTACCAGACAGACAGACGCTACGTAATTCAAATTTATACAACTCGCTTACAACGAGACGCTCTTAAAGACATGTATTCACACGATTAGAAAAAAATAAAATAAAAATAAAACGCGACGCTTCATTTTGAAACGTAAAAATAATTCCAAAATAATAGCAGTCTATGGCCACATCAAACAGACCGTGGGTGGGCCATTGGGACGAGAATGTCGCATTATGAAAAGAAAGTGAGTGCCACGAAGCCGATGCTCGCAGTGACAATTTCACAGGTTGCCGCGACGAGGGGCCTCGCGTTCGCGATTCTAGATTTTGTTTATTTGCAAAATTACTAACATTATATATATATATATATATATATATATATATATATATATATATATATATATTTGCGTGAATTTACTGGGTACAAAGGAATAACACCTCAGTCCTCAGGAATGGCGACGCATGGGGGGTATCATGGGCGAAACAGTATACTCTGTTATGCCCATGGTACTGCTCATGTCTATAGGAGACGGTTACCACTTTCCATCAGGTGGACCGTCAGCTTGTTTGCCATTCTAAGTTGTATAAAAAAAGTCAATAATTCCTAACAGGAACAAAATTTTATAACTATCACATTCCCGATGTGATAAAATTAGAATAAGAAAGAAAAAAAATAGAAAATTAATTCCTTAATTAAGCTATAACATGGTTGAAAACAACCGGAGTGCATAATTAAGTTCATTTTATGGCCATATAGTTCAACATCTGATACAAGACATATGTACAATTTACTAATTAATGGTCAACACATGCGAGATGCCTACACGTCACGCGTGTGTTCCATATCATTCATATCGCATTTCATGTTATTAATACGATAAACACTTTCCATCAGATGGGCCATCAGCTCGTTACTCCCGGCAGTACGAAAATCTGTTAAACTTTCCACTTGCAGGCCATCAACCCTAAACGGTCCAGTGAAGCGGTACAACTTTCTACCATCTCGACCTGACCATTTCGAACCATCCAAATCGGTTATTGTTATAATTTAATAAATTGTAAGCCGCCAGTCTCAGAGAACGCAAGTGACAGCTCAGCAATAAATACAAATTACATTTCTAATAACCGCTTCACACATTACAGCTGTATTTCGACATTACGCACAGACATGCACCGCGACTATCTATATATTATTTATGTTATGTAACATTACATAACTCATTGTCTATAATACAGTAGGTGCATACCTATACCGCCGCTATTTAGATTCGTTATAGATATTTTACGCTTAGATAATAACATAAAACCTATTGTACCTTCAAAGAATGTAATGTTGGTTTGATATGATGAAAGAGAATTAATTTTTTTTTTATTGTTACAACATAAAATTAAAACAAAAACGTTTGGATATGGCGTGAATGCATAAGACTTATGAATTTTGGTCAAATAAGATGCGTTTTCGTTGTAATACGGGAAATATTTGTCAATAAGACTTATGCCCACAATTGGGATGTTAAGAGGCTGTGATGCTCAGTGTTGGATACAGATCTTTACATTTTTCATTTTCAAAACTATAAATTTCCTCCTAACCATCTGGACGAGTGGCGGTCCTCCACCGTGCGTTTTTCAAGCCACTCTCTTCCACGCACAACTCTTTGGAATCAACTTCCAGCAGCAGTATTCCCGAACCGATACGACAACATAACCTTCAAGAAAAGAGCATATTCCTTTTTAAAAGGCCGGCAGCACACCTGCAATGCCGTTGGTGTTGTGGGTGATCATGGGCGGCGGTAGTCACTTACCATCAGGTGAGCCGCATGCTCGTTTGCCCCCCTGTGTTGTAGAAAAAATTAGAAAATTAGCCTAACATACTCCAAAATGCTGTCTCTCTTATAGATTTTCCTCCTATTGATCTTTATTTATCTTGCATAGTTGCCTCTCATAAATGCAGAGAAGTAATGACGTATTTTATTCTTTCTCCGTCACTATTCCGAACTATATTACATCAGCTTTAAGTTTTTTTTCATTTAACTTAACTTTTATTTGTCCACTACTAAATCCGTCATCATAGACTACTATAAGGAACGCTCCTGAGCCACCTGCGCATTTTATTACTATTTCAGCCATTAACTGTCTTCTGCTGAATATAAGCCTTTCCCATAAGAGCAGTTTTGTCAGTAGCTGCCACGCTTGGCAGGCGGGTTGGCGCCCGCAGTTAGGCTTTAGAAGGAGCATCCTTACCCATCCCTCATCATTACTAGCAATAAACCCTGTCAGGTCGAGCTCCACGTGGTTCCCCTTGGAAATCATCGTGGTTAATTCTAGTTGAATTCGTCAGGATGAGCTAACTGACCTGCTTTAATCCTCATCAGTCATCTATCGCTGGTACCCCGTCAGTGTATACCAATAGCGCAGACGGGGTTACCATACCATTATCACCCATTAAAAAAACCCATCCCTTGCCCTCCCCTAGTCGACTACACTATGCCGGGATCACACGGCGATACACCTGCGCAAACTGACTCCTTATAACACATTTGAAATCGTCATTTCATCTTGTACTGGATTCCCCATTGGTTATAGGTTTTTCAAGGTTTGTGACCAAGCCCAATATATAAACATAGCTTATCTACCATTACTAATTTAATTAAATCATTTTATTATTTGTAGGACCGAACAAGCCGGCCGTCGTCGTGGTTCGAGTGGGCAACAACCGTCCAGACTTGGGCACTAACCCCATCTGCAACCGGTTCACCGGGTTCCTCGAGGAAGGCCAGCCCCTCTTCCTGCCGTGCAACCCTCCGATGCCGGGCGCCTTCGTCAGTGTCCATCTGGAAGCGTCCACGCCCTCTCACCTGTCTATTTGCGAGGCGTTTGTCTATACGGACCAGGCGTTACCGATAGAGAGATGTCCGCAGTTCAGAGACCAGCCGCCGGGAAGTACGGCGACTTACAATGGAAAATGTTACATATTCTACGATAGACAGCCGGCTAGCTTCAGGGACGCGCTCGGTTTCTGCCGGTCCCGCGGCGGGACCCTTGTGGACGAGAGCAACCCAGCGCTCCAAGGATTCATCAGCTGGGAGCTTTGGCGGCGTCATCGGTGAGTGGATTGCACACATAATATTGCTTGCTATTTAATGCATTGCGAAGGTATTTTAAAGAAACTATTACAGTACTGATACCAATTTCCCCTTTATAACGTTACTTGGAGGAGATCATTATTCGATTAAGCCTATTGTTGGCTTGACAGGTACCGTACTTACAATCGTGTTTTACGTACTACGTTCTTGAATTATTTCACTTACTTCATTGATTTAATTTTACTTAGCACATATTTACGTGTGCTTAACCATTAGTTTTAAATAATAATGCGAAATTTATATATCTACGCTGTTGATGCACACATGCGAAATATTATTGTCAAATATAATTAATCTACTATTATCGCTAGTTCTTATCAGGGATATTATGAAGGAAATACCAGGGAAAATCACAAAGTTATAGAAAATGACCATATTCAATAGAATAGCTAATCTTCTCTCTAAAACATCTAGTGATACGACGAAATGCCAATATATATAAAGAGTTTTCTGTCAAATTTTAATTACAAATAGAAATTCAATAGTCAATCAGGATTCCTATAAAAGTATGTTATAGCATTTTTACAAAACCATTACAATTTGTGCATCGAAACTGAAAAAAAAAATATTTTGCTAGCCACACAATGACTTCACGGACACCTACATTGTATTTTACAGTGTTAAAACTGTCTTCAAATACTATATAAACAATAAAAAGAAAAAAATATTAATGTATAAAAGTAGCATGACATAACTCTTTTGAGTAGAAATAATATATGTGTATAAATAAACAAGAGCTCTCAGTGGACACTGCAAACTAAACAAGCACATGGCCCAACTAGGCCTATGCCCAAAAAGTGTTTGCAGATTTTGTCACAGTGAGGAAGAAACGCCGCAGCACTTAATTTGTGGCTGTAGCCCACTCATACCTAAACGATATATCTTCTTTGCAAAATATAATTTAAATCTTGAGGAGATCAAAAACATCGCTAGAAGGAGCATTTTAAAATTCCTATCACTGATGGGAATCAGCAGCGAACTTTAAAAAAGGATGAGCACAAAAGATTATGGAAAGGTTGCAGTGTCACAAGTTTTTCTACCTGAAAAACCCCTCTCAATAATAATAATACTTTTACAAACTATTCCTACAATATCAAATAAATATAACGAATTTATTAATATTAGCTCCTTTGCAAAAAAAAAAAAACATCAATAATACATTATTACAGTAATATCTACTTGTACAAAGTACATCTGTAACTAAATGACACATTACATGTATTTTTATTTTTTTACAGTTTTATGGCTTTGCGAACTTAACTGGCTAGTGTTTATTCCTAGTACTTATACTTTTAAATGCGTAATGTGATTTGAATGTGTATACAGTAGTCATAGATTAGAGAGATCATTTCCCTTATACTTAAAAACGACAAACCTCTTATAAATCTATTTTATTTAATAAATTATTTTGTTCTATACTTTTAAAATAATTTCTCAATTTAAAAAGCAATAACAAGACACTGTCAAATTTAAAAAGTAATAGTTACAGTTTATTAGAATGGAAAAGGCAAAAGTACAATTTCTTACAGCCAAATCTGATCAGACAGATGTCTATGGTTTCTTTCATTAAATAAATATTTGATTCGACCATAATGCAGTTCGCCGATGTTCGTTAGTAGTATAAACAAGAAATCGACTAATCGATTAAATGTCTCGCTTCGTTATTAAATTAATTTACAGAGTATTTCTGTCATTATTTAAAAAAAAAAAATTAGATAATATTTTCATTAAATTCTGTTGAGACATACTATAGTATAAAAATTATGCATATATTTTTTTTATTACATATACTTTATTTTGTGTATTAGTAATTCAGAGACTAAGGCCCGTATAGTTGATACAATGGCTAATGAGCAGACTGACAGACAAATACGATGAAATAATGGTATCCTTACACATTCAATTACAATATCTTCTTTTCATTTAAGAGTTTCCTCTTGTCAGTCCAACTAATTCATGCATCTTCCTCCAGCCAGCTCTATCCCAGGCCATATCCTTGACCTCCCTATACGACGTGACACCTAGTGTTTCCTTTATCTCTCCCATGTAGTTATTCCTCGGTCTTCCTCTTTTGCCCTCTATTTTTCCTTCTACTATGCTCTTAAAAAAATCGTCATGTCGCATAAGGTTGCTCAGCATTTGGCCCCTATATTCTCTGTTATTTTAATTAATTAAAATGTACGCAGTAATTATTTTCTAGAAATTACGCATTTTAAATTCGCATCATTTCGACCTTAACATCACAAGCTTTTATATTTTACCTTACAAAAAAATTTGGAATATTTTTTTTTTGTTTTTTTTTCATGTTAATGTTAATTTTTGTAACATTTGTCCATAATAATAATTACTGCGTATAAACAAGTGTTAACATAATGGTTACGAACTTCTGCAAATAGCTAACGAGTGGCAGAAGTTCAAAAATGAAAATATACGCCTGCTAAAAATATGATTTTCTTTTAAATATTAAAACTTACATGTGACAGACATGTATTTATTATAAATACACTATCGGGACCTAACGCGAACATTTTTTGTGAAAATTTTTTTGCAGTTAACCCTTAAACGCCTGAAGTTTTAACTTTGATACCGAGGATTGCATTGTTTCATTGTTAAATAAATTTAAATATTTTGATTACCGTAATGCCTACAGTATCAAAAATGATACCAAATGTTTTTTTTTTTCAAAATAAATATATAAAAATATCGTTTTGATTTTTTTACTATTTTTCCCCATTAGTAAACACAGTAAAAGGTACACTTATATATTTTTTTATTTGATTTAAAAAATCAGGCTTTTAAGGGTTAAATAGTACCTACGTACCTGCTACTTTATTGTCGACGTTTCGATGTGGATTACACCACGTCGTGCTCACGACAGGACTACATAAGTCCAGTGAAACGTTTCTCATCTCCTTAACTCCCGATATTGTATTTGAAATATATTTAAACAACGCGAAAGTTTAAATACAGACGTGTGTCTGTTTTTAATTAATACACTACCAACTGTTAGGTTAATATCTGTACTTATTTAAAAAATATATAATATTAATAATTATAATTCAATATTTAACAACATGTAACCTATTTCGATAGAACGGTAATGAATAAATAATACGACCGTAACACAGTACGTTGCAGATAGTATGCATGGGGGGTATCATGGGCGAAACAGTATACTCTGTTATGTCCACGGTACTGCTCATGTCTAGAGACGACGGTTACCACTTTCCATCAGGTGGGCCGTCAGCTTGTTTGCCATTCTAAGTTGTATAAAAAAAAAAAAAATTTCAAATCAAAGTGTTTGAATGTTTTGATTCGTTACCAATTTCGTAAATACGAGTATTTCTATGATAATTTCAACATAACTTGATCGCCTTTTCATTATTTTCAATTGAAACAGATTACATTTATTCGAGATATTTTAATTAAAAATATGTATACCTATAGGTTACGTAATTTAACTATAATAATAATAATAATTGAATATTTAATGTCCTATCCATATTTCATTACAAAAATTTTCAGGACATTAAATGTATGAATGAGTATACTTTATTTGCATTAAACAATATAGAGAATAAGCAATACAATTGACCACTTAAGCATCTCGAACGAGACCCTCTCGCGCAACAAATGTGTTCCGATTTGCGCTACCCCTAATACCTCTCGCCACTTATAAATATTATGTTTATATTTTTATCTGGAGCGATGCCTTCTCGCCCATTTGTGTTTCATAGAGCTTAGTGTATATTTATTGTATGCTCGTTCGAATTTAGTGCGTGCGCCAGTGCGCCGGTTGACCTCATTTCACAGAAAACCCCTCGCATTAAATGGTTAATAAATGTAACGATGCAGTTGTATAAGTACAGTAAAGTATACTCTGGTTTTATAAAGTCGCTTGCCTGATTCAATATTGGCCAAACTATGTTTTTTTTTAATTGGCTAGCGAATTAAAAATTTAATTAACATAACAAAAGGATAATAACAACACAATAACAAAAATTACAAAAACATTTGGGCACAAATTCCACAATTGGACAGTAGGGGTGTTTATTTAGAGAAAACTTATCACTGACAAAGACAAACGTCTCGCCAGCGTAGAATCTTGATATGTTAATGCGCTTCATCAGTATTGACTGACGGATGTCTTCGACAGAAGCGACAGTAGCAGCCAGTACTGGATGGGCGCAGTGCGCGACCCCCAGGACCCTGACAACTGGAAGTGGGTGGACGGCAATGACGTCACGGTCTCCTTCTGGAACGCCCCAGGCGGTAGCGAGGACTGCGCCAGATTCGATGGCAGCAAAGGCTGGCTGTGGGCCGACACCGACTGCCAAGCTCGATTGAACTATATCTGCCAGCACCGTAAGTCCTTTATCGTTTGTTTGCGCCGCGAACAATCAATTTAGCTCAGCGAATGTCTTCAAAGCGATTTGTTGTTACCTTTATGTGATTAGTATGCCTTTTTATGGGTGATAATAGAATGGTATTGCCTGTGCTAACGACATGCACTAAGCACGACACCAAAGAAATATGATAAGTGAGGATATATTGGGATCTGTTGACCCATCGTGATGAATTTACAAAGAATCCGGTAGTCTTCATTACTCCCTAAAATAATAAGTAGGTTAAAGTGACTCTAAAATGTGTGAATGTTGACCGACAGAGCCGAAAGCGTGCGGTAGACCGGAACAGCCCCCGAACTCGACGATGAGCGCCGAGAATTTCGACGTGGGCGCTTCAGTTGAGTACTCGTGTGACGAGGGCCACCTCCTGGTCGGGCCCACAGTGAGGACGTGCCTTGACACCGGCTTCTATGATGAATTCCCGCCAGTGTGCAAACGTAAGTACTGGGAGGGAGGCGTGTTTATCATAACAGATATAAATCACAAGTATTCGAAGATAACAGATAACAGTTGTTCTTGCGATGTCATTATATCTGTTAAAAAATATCATTTATAATTCACCATGCTTAAGTTATTTAACCATTCAACAACCAACATTATTTAGTATTCTATAACAGCCGGTCACTAACATAGTTTGAAATAACAGAACAGCCAATGAAAAATGAAACAACCTGTTATTTAATAATAGATAATTTAAGATTTGGGGATGTTTTAAGAAGAACGCTGCTGCCCAATTTTCGCCCTCCCATATCATCCCATATACCCCATATCATAGTCGCCACTTACGACACCCACGGGAAAGAAAGGGATGGCCTACTCTATGCCGAGACGACGCGGCAGCCCACACTATACTTGTAATTTTTTTTCTAAGAAATGTATGCAATCTATATATATATGCAATATATAGATATTGCATACATATTCTTACATTCGATCCTAGAATTCAAAATAAATTGGATCATATCGTTCAATATAATATACTTTTCTAGGAATCGAATGCGGCTACCCGGCGGAGATACCGCACGGGTCATACGAGCTGGTGAACGGGTCCGTCTCCTACCTGTCACACGTACAGTACTCATGCAAGCCTGGCTACGAGATGGTCGGTCGCTCACGACTCGTCTGCGACATCGACGAGAGGTGGAACGGGCCTCCGCCACGGTGCGATGGTATGTACCGTAAATCAATTATATAGCATTTAGACTGGTATATACTCTTTATTGTTTCCTCCAAAAGATTACAATAGTAAACTTATTATGAATATAAATAATTACAAGAAATAATCACAATGAGAGAACAATGGGCGACCTTATCGCTAAGAGCGATCTCTTCCAGGCAACCTTTGGATGGAGACGAGTAATTATAAACAGTTTGATTGGAGGCACGATGAAGATCCTATTATTTCTAAAGTATCTATCCCTACTTATTATATATACTTATATACACACATATATACATACACACATACATACAAACACCTACACAAATACTGCTCACATGTATACGTAAAACACAATTTTTTTTTTAGATTTACTATTGTTTTTTAGAGATTTTTAATGCATGATAATGGAATGTTGACCCCGCCTGCGCTATCAGTATACGCTGGTGGAGAACCAGTAAATAATGAAAGATGAAATTGAGAGCTGGTCATTTGGCCCATCGTGACGAATTCAACTATAATTAACCACGATGGTTTCCAGGAGGCCGCGTGATGGTCGACCTGACCTGTATATTGCTAGCAATGGGGTCCCGCTTGTCCCATTTATTAACAATCCTTTCTGTCTTACCTAGATATTTATGCAACATAATAAAAAAGGACTTGTAAACAAGACGATCTGAATAAAAATTATTACTATTCTAATTTCTCTGAAGGACGCTTCAGTTCGTAGTACCATAAGTTCGTAGCCATCTTCGTGACCCCCCTATAGAGAACTCGCGCTGAACTTTCAACGATCCGCGGCAAACAATCAGAGCTGGAAACGGCACCAGACGCTATCAGTCACAAACACGGTAATTGCAACAATTAGATTGCATCTCGTAATTGCATATGGGAACGATGCAAGATTTTTCACATGTACTCGCAGACAGCCGGAGCTGTAGCGGGCACCGTAAGTGGGTCGTTGCGTGATACCTGAACACCTACCAAGAATATTTTTTCAAAATTTCAAGACCGACGAAATACAATATTGATTTTAAAAATTACATAATAAACACAGTTTAAAAATGTTAAAATATCAATCTTTTGGACTTTTATTATACGATTAATGACGAACGAAACGTTAACATCCATTTACGATATGGACGAATATACGCAATTGGGTTCGAAACTTCAGAATTTCATTCCTTGATAGACCTCTTGATTGGGTATCCATTTTTATACCTTACTTTTTTAACATACGACAATAGAATAAAGCTATCTTATACAATGGCTGGACACCAGTGGAAGATATAAGAATGAGAACTAATTCAATACAATTAGCCCATCGTGGTAATTTCAAGAGGAAGTAACGCGCGTTAAAATTGGGCATGTGGGAATTGCCTTGATAACATATTATTGTTGGGGGGAAAGAAATTGTTAGTCTAATGGGGTCTAACCGACCCATTGCTAGCAATGAACCTTATCAGGTCGACCTCCACGCGGTCCCCCCTGGAAACTATCCTGTTTAATTCTAGTGGAATTCATCACGATTGGCTAACTGACCTGCTTTCATCGTCACCTATCATCCATCACTGATGCCCCGCCGGTGTATACCGTTAGCGCAGGTGGGGTTACCATTTCATTATCATCTATTTAAAAAAAAAACATATTATTCAAGTCTCCAAGCTAAAATAGTTTGAGTTTATAGCCCTGCTCCTTATCACGTTGAATTCAAATATGCTTAACCGGTTATATGTTTTGGAAAAAAAGAAAGAAAGATGTTTTATTCGAGTATTCTCATATTTGCATAAGCGTATGCAAAATCTTTATATTATCAACGATTTGTGAAGAAGACTATGCAGTTTCTTTGCGTGACTTTACCAGTTGGCAAATCCAAGATTACCCCATTAGAGATTCTAAGCGTGAACATATTTAATTTTTTTATATTAGAAATGGTAAAAATACATGTATTCTTGTTCTACGCAGTGGTCCAATGCGAGGAGCCGCCTCAAATTGCGAACGGGCGCGTCACAGTAGCCAGCAATGCCTCTGTATTTGGCTCTGTCGCGGAGTATGCTTGCATTCGAGGGTACAAGCTGCAAGGAGCGCGCAGAATCACTTGTCTTGCATCCGGATTATGGGATAAACCCACACCACATTGCCGAAGTGAGTACTTTACTTTTTTTTTTCTATAATGGCAAATGGCTGACGGCCTAACTGATAGGAAGTGGTAACTGTTGCCTATAGACATGAACAGTACCATGGATATAATAAAGTATACTGTATCAACCATGATACCTTTTATGTGTTGTCATTCCTGAGGACTAAAGTGTTGTTACTTATTTTTATTTATTAATGCTAATTCTCTGCTCTGTACTATTTTATCGAGACAATAAAATAAAAAAAAAATCTGACTAAGTAGTTCAAGCGAATTTAATAAATTCTGTTTATTTTTTAAAAGAGCTATTTTAAAATTAAAAAATTTTTTTTTACTGTAAATTTTCTGTGATGTTGCCAAAAAGTGTATACTTTTCGATAATTACCAGAATACTGTTTTTTTTTTATTAATAATATATCACAAAAATGTCCAACAGTTGAGGAGACAACCACATCAACCAGCACCACGACAACAACTACACCATCCACGACCACCACGGTCCTACCCATCCCTTCGATCACAACACCCCCACTACTGCCCACCAGGCGCCCCCCGCCTCGACCTATCTCGTCCCCGAGCCCCTTCTCCACCGCCGAACCTCCCCGGAGACTGAAGCCGAAGACAACTGAGCGACCCACCACGAAAGTGTACGAGAGGCCACCAGAAAGGAAGGTGACCGTTAGTGATGCACAGGAGTCGCCCACGAGTCACGTGCCACACATCATAGTAGCCAGCCACCCAAGGGAAAATCAGGTAAGAGCAATTGATATAACACTACGATCGATTTTGAAATACCATCTCCTAGACTTGTCTCTACAATATTAATTTAATAGGCTCTATGGTAAATACCATCGAGTATTACAATCAATTGCAATATACGATGGTAGACAGGCTGTATGCTTGTTTGCCACCTTTGTGGTATAAAAAACCATGCGTTGCCATTCTTACAGACTTAGGTATTATGTACCAGATTAGGTACTAGAGGGAGACTTTGTACAAAAGTCGATTGCTTGGGTACCTCTATCCTACTCGTGTTTCAACCGTGAAGCAGTTGTGTTTGCATGGATGTGTTTCGGTTTGAAGGATGGGATAGAGCGTGAATTTACAGTGTACAGAGGAATAACATCCGAGTCCTCAGGAATGGCAAAACAGGGTGGGTATCATGGGCGAAACTCTGTTATGTACATGGTACTGCTCATGTCTATAGGCGACGGTTACCATTTTCCATCTGGTGGACCGTCAGTTTGTTTGCCATTCTAAGTTGTATAAAAAAACCGTACTCTGAAATTTTACCAATTTTACTGCCATATCCAGAAAAATGCCGTGTGATCCCGGAATAGAATCCGTTTCTTTGTCGTGGGTGTGTCGTAAGAGGCGACTAAAGAACTTATGGTGGACTTACAGCTACTTACAGTAACTTACAGCGTCTCTCTTAAAATGTCAGTGAAACTAACTGCGGTTGCCATTCCCGCCTAACATCTGAGTTCTCAGGAATGGCAACGCATGGGGGGTATCATGGGTGAAACAGTATACTCTATTATGTCCATGGTACTGCTCATGTCTATAGGCGGCGGTTACCACTTTCCATCAGGTGGGCCGTCAGCTTGTTTGCCATTCTAAGTTGTATAAAAAAAAAGCATGGCAACTACTGGCAAAATACCCTTTACAGGGGAGGCCTATGTTTAGCAATCGCTAATATGATGAAGATGCTTGGTAATTTACCTACACATGTATATTTAAATTGAAGTCGTTTAAAAAAATACTTAACACCAATTTGGCTATATAAGTATGCATATTGCCCAATCATATTAGAGTAAGCCCGTGTCAAACCTTATTTGGTAACGGAAAATCAGATATGTAAAAATGCGTGAGTGAAAGTGCATTAGTGAATCTATTAAACTGGCTGTACATGGTTGACAAAGTCGTTGCGACCGGTACATTAACCGGCCATGTATTTAAAACTAGCTAAGCTGTTAAAGCACTAATTGGTATCAAACAAATAAACTCACTTTCATATATAAATTGGCATATATGCACATAAAAAGTGGCTAGGGATCAAATACTTTAGAAGACAAAACAAACAAACTAACATTACATTTATTATGTTAGTAATAATATCATTGTATATGACCAAGACTATATATTCATGTACGTATCTAGATTCTGGGTAGCGGCCACAACATACGAGCTGAGCAGACTCCTCGTGTCAACGTGCCCCATCCGGTGGACGGCGAGCGGCGGGAGACCATCGGCGCCCGCCTCAACCTCGGCGCTGTGGTGGCGCTCGGCGCGTTCGGCGCGTTTGTGTTCCTTGTGGCTATAATCACCACGATAGTCATTCTCGTCAGAAGGTTAGTCTATCTATGTTTGATTTGTCTATGTTCATGTCTTATTACTTCCGCAAAAATTTGTGTAGCAATGTGGACGCCGGCAGAAACAATATCCTCAGATCAGACTTCAGTTTTTTATAGAACCTCTTAGATAGAGAATATCACGCAGGTATCCTTAATCTATGCGCAAACTAATGCCATGCCACAGAATACATAATTTTAATTTCTAAAATCCAGTAGTTCAAGCAGCATGCTTTTTAAGGTTGAAGATAAACCAAGCAATCGAATACTGGTTGTTTAGGTAAATTGTTAAATTTTTCTATAGCGTAAATGGGATAAGTAAAAGAGTTAAATACATACGTTACGGGAAGTTGTACATAAGACCGAAGAGTATATCTGCCACTATGTCTGGCGTTTATAGACTATGAAAAAGCCTTTAATTCGGTCGAGTCATGGGCCTTACTACAGTCCCTCCAGCAGTGCCAGATTGACTATAAATATATCGAAGTGCTGAAGTGTTTGTACAACAGTAAGGCTACGATGTCTATCCCAGTACAGAACCAGAGTACGAAACCCATCTTAGCGCAGAAAGGTGTAAGACAGGGTGACGTCATATCCCCGAAACTCTTCACAGTTGCATTGGAAGATGTTTCCAAACTTTTAAACTGGAAAAGGTATGATAAAAACGTTAATGGCGAATACATCACTCACCTTCGATTTGCCGATAGCAGCGTTCGGAAAATTACGCCACATCTTAAATCCAAAATGCCTCAAAGTGATGACTTACGGAACCGAAACGTGGTCCTACATGATATACGATACTATACGATATGCCCGTATGCAAAATTTCAAACTACTCAGCAGGCTATGGAGAGGGCTATGCTCTAAGTCTCTTTGAGTGATAGAATCCGAAACGAGGATATCCGCAAAAGAACCAAAGTAACTGACATAGCCCATAGGATAAGCAAGCTGAAGTGGCAATGGGCTGGTCACAGCTAGAAGAACCGACAACCGATGGAGAAGAAAGGTTCTTGAGTGACGACCTCTTACGGGTAAACGCAGTATAGGACGACTCCCCATTAAATAGAGTGACGACCTGAAATGCATTACAGGGAGTCAGTGGATGCAGGTGGCTCAGGACCGTTTCTTATGGTGGTCTATAGTGGAGGCTTATGTCCAGCAGTGGACAGATAATGACTGAAATGATGAATGATGATGATGAAATGAGTTAAGATCATTTTGATTCATTAAATTTTAAAATCACTGTCAATTAAGTTTGAAATGAAATGAAATTTATTTGAAATTTATTTGCTAGAAACATTGTAGAAAAGGTGTTGCATTTAATGCGTTTAATGCGTTTAATCTACTTGTTTTAATATTCTATTTCTTTTAGCTTAATTCAACGTTTAAAAATGAATTAATCTGAACCCATTATGCAGAAAAACATAGTTCTCTTCTCTACTGATAGACATAAGATTTTTAAGGATTTATGTATACTAGCACACCCCTGCCGGCGTTCATGTATAATGTATTAAGTAAACGTGCTTGGATTATGGTGCGGCCAGCGCTGGCAACGTGCTGTGCGATGTTACAGCTTAAAAATTATTATTATTTATTTACTTATTTTACTAGAAAAAAAAAACATTTATAGAAAATAATTAATCGATCGTCTATTTATACATACTCGTATTTAAATATACTTCTGTCTCGTTCTATCTTCATTCATCGTTCATCTGCTCTCTGCCTTCATTTGGTATATAAGTACCTTAAAATATAAATGCTCCTAGTGGCTCTTACACTATCGTATTGATTCAGAAACTCATCAAATTTATCATTCTTTGCATATATTAAAAAAAATCGCCCAGGGTGTCTCGTCATCCGTATCCAATTGCCAGGACGAGATACCCCAAAAGGCTCCCTGTATTCATAAAGAAAACATGTAACTCGTCACTTTTATCTAATTGAGCGGACGAGATACCCAACAAATCTCCCTAAACTCACATAAATACGTGACTTATCAACCATAGCATAACCATAAGGACGACATATACTAGAACAAAGCTCACTGAACTAGTGATGGGCCGAGTCAAGCTGAGTCGTATACTGATTCGATAGACACTCGGGTACTCGAGTACGTAGAATATAGAATTCGGATACTTGACATTCGAATACAGATTTCGAGTACTTTTTACTTGAACTTTTGTCACGTATTTAAAGAAAAGAAATAACTTTCTTCCATCTTTAACTACACACATCAAAAGTGTATAGGAATCAAGTACGTTTTAGAGTATCGCCACAAATGAGGATTTTAATTTTATTGGATCATTATTGATTCTTTTTATTTACAATTTCTCTATTTGAATTTTGAATAGAAATAGAAAATTAACTGTCAATATTTTATAGTTAAAAATGTACTTGATCCCTACACACTTTTGATGTATGTACTTACTTAGTCTTACCTTCACTAAAAGTAAACTTAAGAAACTAGTTGAAAATTAATCGAATCCGGTAAAGTACTCGAATGCCTTTGTCGAATCGAGCACTTGTTTGTAGATTCAAATTCCAGAATTCAATTTTATTTTAAAAACCTACTGAAACATACGAATACCAAAAAAGGCAGACTCAGCACATCACTACACTATAACACACGAAAAAACATGTATCTAAACACAACAGCAAGGACGAGATACCCCACAACAAGGTTAGCTAAATTCACGAAATAACATGTATCTGTCAAATGTAACCAGTAGACGAGATACCCCACAAGGCACCTTAAATTGGAAAAAAAGCATGATTCTAATGGAATTATCCTGGGTAACGTCAGCGGGGGCCAGAAGCGGCCGCGGGCGGCGGTGCGCGAGCTCCCCTCCCGCTGGTACACCCTGCTGGCGCTACCGTTCCCAGACCAGCAAGTTGGACGGCGCGAGTTTGTCCGCGCCCACCGACATACTCACCGCGCCGGACACTTCTCCAACCCGTTATAGCGTGCGTTTATATTTTAAGGTACACAGTGGCATGGTGGCTGGTAGGCGTCTTCGACCAAGTTCATATTTAGTCCTCGGGAATTGCGGTATCATGGGCGTCACAGTATATTCTGTGACGTCCATATCTATAGGTGTCAGTAACCGCTTACTATCAAATAGATCGTGTACAGGTTTGCCATTCTATGTATTTAATTAGAATCGACTGTCTTTTTTTAACAAACATGTATTTTTCGATTATAAAATTTATTCATAATTAGGAAATACCGTCCTCATGCTAAAATGCAGTCGAATTGATCAAACTTCCAAGAGGTTGGTTGAAGCCGTTTATATCTAACGAATAAGATTTAAGGCCAACAACGATGGTGGCCTCCATATAGCTCTTGATTTTAGTTATTGATAATCTGCAAGAATTAGCTAAGCGACGTGTTTTTGTTTTATTTCACATTGTCGCTATGGATACATATTTAGAATTAAATACAAATATAAGATTTTAGCTGCATTTCTTTTATCATATTTAGGTATACTTGTAAATTTATACATACAAATATATTTAGAGAAATAACGTTTCTAAATAAATGCTAATTATTCTCGTTGAATGTACCATCAATATTTAAATTACAATAATTATATATTTACTAATTGTTTTATTAAATATAAATTATAATAAACACAAAAAAAAACGGTATTTAATAATATTAAACTTTACTATTCCTACACAAGCATAGACAATGTCGACACAGCCACCATGCTACAGCGCACACGCACGCACCTGACATGACTAGCAACGCACGCGACCGCCACGCCGCCGAAAAAGAAAAAAGAAATATTTGAAATTCGAAAAATATATTAGCATAGACAAAAATCACAAACCACAAATCTCACGCAACACTTGGCGCCCACCAAACCGCTTTACGTATTTGACACTTAATTTGGCACTGGCTATTGTAAATATAAAAAAAAAAACCACCGAATACGTACTTTTTTTTTTAAACAAAGCACGTACTTTAAGGTGTTATTACAATATCACACGTAATATAATATTTCATACTGATATTTTTTATAGCTATAAAAGCAGATTGTCTTCCAGTATGTGTCAATAATATGTCATATATATGATGTATGATCCTATTAACATGATAGTGTAATAACACCCTAACACATTATAGCACATAATGCAATTTTACATTTAGTTTAAATAGCTGTCCTACATCAATACCTACCGGATGGAGACTTTGTACAAAAGTCGATTGCTTGGGTACCTCTGTCCCACTCGTGTTTCAACCGTGAAGCAGTTGTGTTTGCATGGCCGTGTTTCGGTTTGAAGGGTGGGATATGGCGTGAATTTACAGGGTACAGAGGAATAACACCTGAGTCCTCAGTAATGGCAACGCATGAGCGGGTATCATAAGCGAAACAGTATACTCTGTTATGTCCATGGTACTGCTCATATCTATAGGCAACGGTCACCACTTTCCATCTGGTGGGCCGTCAGCTTGTTTGCCATTCTAAGTTGTATAAAAAAAAACACATTTTCTAGTGTGAAACTTTGAATATTTTATAAATAGTCCATACAGAAAACTTATTTTTTTTTTATTTTATGTAATTTGATAACAATAAATAATCTGTTTTAAAAAAAAAATAAAGAAAAAGGGTAAAAAAGTTTTATGATAATTATACCAAAAGCATTCTCCAAATGAAATTAGTAACAAATCAAAACATACAGTCAAATAATTGATTTTTATTTATTTTAGATGTGTTTTTATATATTTTAGGTTAGATAAATTATTCATTTATTTAAATTTCCAATAAAATTTCATATTAAAACAGCTTAGTCTATAAATAATAATATTATAAGCCAATTAAATATGAACTAAATTGTAAACTAAAAATCAAATACAGATAAAGTAATATAAGGTGACTGTCAGCAGGAAACACAACGACGGCAAGCGGTACCGTCACCACGTGTCGCCGGACTGCAACACTGTCGTGTCCCTGGACTCGTCGTCGTCAGAGTCCAGGAGCGGCCTGAACAAGTACTACAGACAGGCGTGGGAGGAGCTTCACGAGGCCGCCGGCGCCAAACATGGCCATAGAAGAGACAGGGAAGCGCCCAAGGACGGGTCCGAGCTGGTGGTGTCCGATGTGTACCCCGCGGCGCACGCCCGCGACAAGCGCCGCCACCACCACCACCACCACCACCGCGAGGCCCGGCACCCCGACTGGCAAGCGCCCCATCGTCCCCACCATAATCATAAGCCTAGGTATTAATGTCTTATTATATATGACTCAAGTCTTTTATATATAATTTACAGGGTTCAATACGAACATTTTGTACTATTAATTTTTAGGGTCATATTACACTACTAAACATATGTATATGATCATATCTAGAGAGACCTGTCAATTTATAAAATTGTTGATAGAATCAATTTTAAAATTGATCAGATTTCTACACTGCCTCTGGACAAGGTACAAACGAATCTATCGGTAGAATTGTTTCGGTGAGCGTTCACATGTGTAAGAATGAGACAACACATACTGCCATCTTATTCTATCTCATGGACTGGCTAATGACAAGGATTCTATCAATAGATTTCTTTTGTATCTTATCTAGGAGGGCTGTATTTGTATCTCTAAGAGATGCATAGTTATGATCGCACATTTTCTAGTGTAATATGTCTACATAGGGTTATATTGCATTGTTAAATATGTAGGATCATAGCTAAATTAATAACTGAATATTTAAACACTTTGACTGTCATACCATAATTCTGTAAATCTTGGTCGTCAGCACACCTGCAATGCCTCTGGTGTCGCGGGTGTTCATAGGCGGCGGTAGTCACTTACCATCAGGTGAGACGCATGCTCGTTTGCCCCCCGTAGTGTAAAAAATCTATAGATTATCAGAAATCCAATGAAATTAATTCTTATCTTTTTATAATCTTATCTTACTCATAAAATAAAATCAATAAAATAACAAGATATAGTTAACAAGATATAGTTTTTAAAATAAATTTTACCTTAATAAGACAAATAGATGCCGCATTTTTTTTTTAATTTTGTCATCGCCTCAATCTGTCTATTTGTCTGTCTGTCTGTATGTTTATTCCAACAACATGAAAAAATTACTGCACCAAATTAGATATGGTTTCCACAATACTGTTAAATTACTATTTTAACAATTACTGGTACTTAATTTCTAGTATATTAACCATCTTAATACACCATCTAAAAGTATATATATTTTATTGATTTTCCCTACTTCTAAATCTAATCTAAAAATATGACAATATATGATCCCATACATCTGACAGTGTAATATTACTCTTAGGTGGAACTTGAACATTTTAGTCTATTTCATAGTGAGTTCATTTTAATATGTAGACTTTATATAAAATTAAAAAAAAAAAAATAAACCTAGTTATTTTGAATTGTTTATTTTTCTTAAATATGGGAGAATTTTGAGGCTAGATTGTAACCACTATACCAAATATGTAAGCAGGTGTCAATCGTTTTTTTTTTTGTTAATTAAGTATAAAAACGTATGTTATTTTTATATTGATGCCACATATTATGTATTATTGTGTTTTGCCAACTAATTTTTTAGCAACTATAAGTGAATGAAAGAACGGTACCATATGTACTATTCATTTGTAGCATAGCATACTGCAAAATATGTGACGTCAATTTCGTCTGAATACCATTGACAATTTTCAATATAGACTATTAAAAGAAAATATAGGTAATATATTTACGTTACATGTAAGTTTCAGTATTTCCATGTTTTTTTAATTTGTTTTTTTTTTTTTAATTCATCCGCTTAAACTATGATTACCTTGATCTTGTCTTAATTATATTACCTATTTTCTATAACGACCTACTTCTGTATTTTTTTTTCCTAATTTTCATTATATTAATTAGTCTTTAAGAATTTTATTTTGTACATAAATTAATACATAAGTAGGGGGCTGTAAGATTAGATTGAAGTTAATCATTGTTCACGCTTTTTCCTATCTGAAATTAATCTATTAAATTCTCTTATTCAAATGTAAAATTGAACTGTGAAATATTGGAACTATGATTAATATAAATTTTAGCATTAAGTTTCATATTATTATGAACCCCGTAGAAGGTTCTTTTATGTTTCTAGTTGACTAAGGACCGAATGGGATCCGTTTGGATTATAGTTTACTTTCATATTATGCTAATATATAATATCAACCCATTCGACCCTTATTTTCCAGTGATTTATTAAATAGAAGTTTGATTTAAAGTATACTTAATGTCTAGATATTATGGTACAAAGTAATTATGTAACTCTATAGCCTACGAAACGACGCAGTACAAGTGTTTACATCGGCTACGTACCTAACTTGAAGAAATTGAATGTGACATGTGCCATTTGACAGGCAGACATAAAAGGTAGGAAATTCACAGTTATATTAATTAGTAATTTATAATTATACTTTTCTTTTTTTTTTTTTGTTCGCAAATCGTCGGTGGAAATAGTTAAGGTGTTCGTTTCGCAAATGATACTGGCAACTGTGAAAACTTAATTTAAAAAAATACAGGTTCATAGACAACGAAAATTGGGTTGTCTTTTTTAAGGTGTGTTGGTTGGTACCGCCTGTGCGGTACACGCTGGCGGGATACCAGTGCCGGATGTAGGATTGACGATAAAGTTTTGAGTCGTTTCGTTGTTCAATAATTGTTTTTGAAGTCCAAATTAATCCTGTACTGTCTAATTGTATAGGGTTGTAGTAAAATATTATGGTAATGCATATTGACTAACGTGAACATCCTTGTTTACGTCAGTCAATACTCTTTATATAACCTAAGAATACAAATATGACATATCTACTATTTAACAGAGGGACTTTGTACAAAAGTCCTCTTTATGGGTACCTTTGTCCCACTCCTGTTTCTGTTATGAAACAACTGTGCACTTGCAGGGTTGTATTTCGGCCTGAAGGGTGCGATATGGCAGTGAAATTACTAGGTACGTAGGTGCCATACCATTGCCCTCAGGAATAACAATACATGAGCAGCACGGTATATACTGTGATGTTCATAGCGCTGTTCATATCTATAGGCGACGGTCACCGCTTTCAATCAGGTGGGCCTTCCGTTAATTCGCCATGTTAACTTAGCGAATTATCATAAAAAGACTAGGTAGGTTCTTTTAAGGCGATATTTTCATATCTTTTATTTGGTATAAATAATACAACAGAAACACACAACAGTCTCAATAGGTTTCTTTTCTTTCTTTCTCAGTAGGTAGATCCGGTCATTGACTTCTAAAGGTGTGAGACTTTTTAATGTAACTTTCTACATGTCTGAGTGGTCCGTCTGCCCGTCTATCAGACTGTCAGCCTATATGTCTGAGTGGTCCGTCTAGCCGTCTATCAGACTGTCAGCCTATATGTCTGAGTGGTCTGTCTGCCCGTCTATCAGACTGTCAGCCTATATGTCTGAGTGGTCCGTCTGCCCCTCTGTCAGACTGTCAGTCTATCTGTCTATGTGGTCCGCCTGGCCGTCTATCAGACTGTCAGTCTAGCTGTCTGATTAACAGACAATTTTGTCAGCGTATATGTCTGTGTGGTCCGTCTGCCCGTCTATCTGACTGTCAGCCTAGCTGTCTAATTAACAGACAGTTTTGTCAGCGTATATGTCTGTATGGTCTATCTGCCCGTCTATCAGACTGTCAGTCTATCCATATGTGTGGTCCGTCTGCCCGTCTATCAGACTGTCAGCATATATGTCTGTGTGGTCCGTCTGCCCGTCTATATGACTGTCAGCCTAGCTGTCTGATTAACAGACAGTTTTGTCAGCGTATATGTCTGTGTGGTCCGTCTGCCCGTCTATCAGACTGTCAGTCTATCCGTCTGTGTGGTCCGTCTGCCCGTCTATCAGACTTTCAGCGTATATATCTGTGTGGTGCGTCTGCCCGTCTATCAGACTGTCATTCTATCTGTCTTTGTGGTCCGTCTGCCCGTCTATCAGACTGTCAGCGTATATATCTGTGTGGTCCGTCTGCCCGTCTATCAGACTGTCATTCTATCTGTCTGTGTGGTCCGTCTGCCCGTCTATCAGATTGTCAGCCTAGCTGTCTGATTAACAGACGGTTTTGTCAGCGTATATGTCTGTGTGGTCCGTCTGCCCGTCTATCAGACTGTCAGTCTATCCGTCTGTGTGGTCCGTCTGCCCGTCTATCAGACTGTCAGCCTAGCTGTCTGATTAACAGACAGTTTTGTTAACGTATCTGTCTGTGTGCTCCGTCTGCCCGTCCATTTGACTGTCAGTTTGCCGGGCTGTCAGTCTGTTTGTCAGACTGACAGTTCCTCTGCCTATAAATCTGTCTATCTGGTCCGTTTGTCTGTCTATATCTTTGTATTGTTATCAAACAAAATCCTTTATACCAAATTAAATTCGTAGTCAATTAGTTGTTTTTACACAAGTTTATTCTTTTGTTTACGCGGTGGCATATGGTTGCCAAAAATATAACCCTCTGTAATAAAAGTTGCTAGCATCTAAAGTTATGTTCTAAATGTAGTTACAGGATTTTTTTTTTCAATAAAAGAACTCTATTATTTCTTCTTTATGACAATATAGGGGTTTCTATAAAAAATGGTCAATCCCTAGATTATGTCAAGCAATCTGGATGCGTTATTTTATATTTTAACTCATCTTTCAAGTTACATTGAAAAGTCTTATGCCTGCAGCAGCCAACAGCGGGTTCTTAGGTTAAAAGAACTGTTAAAATTTAAGACATTTGGGCATAAACGGCCCCAAACGATGTGGCGAGATGTGGGTCGTACAAAACGAAAGCTGTAGCTGTCCCCGGTCGCCGTGTACTGTTAGTTACATATGACGTGACATCGCCGCGCATCTGTGACACTCGCGTCATAGCATCGAAGCGCTACAATTAAGATACTCATTTGTAATTTTGGTACAAGTATAAATTACAATTTTATTGTCCGGAAGGAAAATAACAAATTAACCGCTTCCGCCGACGACGTTGTGTATAATTGTCTCGCTTATTACCCGTGGTCGGTCACAGCGTCACAGTGAAACGACGATAGCGATAGGCCATTTGGTCGCCTTTCGAATTGTATTGACAATATTTTTTAAAGTGTTCTACTTTGGGCATAGTTTTTTTTTTTTATGGGAAAATAATTTTAACACTGGCCCGAGATAACTTGTCATTGGGGTCGATTCAGAAGCGCTATTTCTATAAATAGATTAATATAAACTAATTTTCTAATAAATTTAAATCAACATTATTATAATTTATAATTTACAATTTTAGTTTATAATTTTCCGAAATTACCAAATTGAAATATTTTGTTAAGAGATAAATATGGTATAAAGAAGTAAATGGCGCCTCTGAATCTGTTCCACTGTCTTCCATCAGATGCGTATATTTACCTATAATCTATTTCCAACGAAATTTTCTAACAGTAACCTACCTGATGTTGTAATAGTAGTCCGTCTGTCTGTCCGTCTATCTGTTCTTTGTCTGTCTGACCGTCTGTCTGTTTGTCCGTCTGTCTATCTATCTATTTATCAGATCTATCTATGTATCATTCTGTCTGTCTGTTTATCCGTCTGTCTTACTCTGTGTCCGTTATCTGTCTGTTCTGTCTGTCTGTGAGTTTGTCTATCTATCTGTCCGTGAGTCTATCTGTATGTCCGTGTGTTTGTCTGTATGTTCATCTGACTGACCGTCTATCTGTGTATCTATCTCTCTGTTCGTACGTCTGTCTATCTGTGTGTTTGTTTATTTATCCGTCAGTTTACCAGTGTGCCCGTTTGACTATCTGTGTGCCCATCTGACTATCTGTGTGCCCGTCTGACTATCTGTGTGCCCGTCTGACTATCTGTGTGCCCGTTTGACTATCTGTGTGCCCATCTGACTATCTGTGTACCCATCTGACTATCTGTGTGCCCGTCTGTCTATCTGTGTGCCCGTCTGACTATCTGTGTGCCCGTCTGACTATCTGTGTACCCATCTGACTATATGTGTGCCCGTCTGTCTATCTGTGTGCCCGTCTGTATATTTGTATGCCCGTCTGACTATCTGTGTGCCCATCTGACTATCTATCTGTTTGCCTGTCTATCTGTGTTCCCCTCTATCTATCTAAGTGACTATTTATCTGTGTGCCTGTCATCCCATCTAATGCCCGTCAGTCTATTTGTGCGCTCATATGTCTGTCTGTGTGCCCGTCTTTCTATTTGTGTGCCCGTATGTCTATTTGTGTGCTCGTTTGTCTATCTGTTTGCCCGTTTGACCATCTGTGTGCCCGTCTGACTATCTGTGTGCCCGTCTGACTATCTGTGTGCCCGTCTGTCTATTTGTGTGCCCGTCTGACTATCTGTGTGCCCGTCTGTCTATTTGTGTGCCCGTCTGTCTATTTGTGTGCCTATCTGATTATCTGTTTGCCTGTCTGACTATCTGTGTGCCTGTCTGACTATCTGTGTGCCCGTCTGACTATCTGTGTGCCCGTCTGTCTATCTGTGTGCCCGTCTGACTATCTGTGTGCCTATCTGATTATCTGTTTGCCCGTCTGTCTATCTGTGTGCCCGTCTGACTATCTGTGTGCCCGTCTGACTATCTGTTTGCCCGTCTGTCTATCTGTGTGCCCGTCTGACTATCTGTGTGCCCGTCTGTCTATTTGTGTGCCCGTCTGACTATCTGTGTGCCTATCTGATTATCTGTTTGCCTGTCTGACTATCTGTGTGCCTGTCTGACTATCTGTTTGCCCGTCTGTCTATCTGTGTGCCCGTCTGACTATCTGTGTGCCCGTCTGACTATCTGTTTGCCCGTCTGTCTATCTGTGTGCCCGTCTGACTATCTGTGTGCCCGTCTGTCTATTTGTGTGCCCGTCTGACTATCTGTGTGCCTATCTGATTATCTGTTTGCCTGTCTGACTATCTGTGTGCCTGTCTGACTATCTGTGTGCCCGTCTGACTATCTGTGTGCCCGTCTGTCTATCTGTGTGCCCGTCTGACTATCTGTGTGCCCGTCTGTCTATCTGTGTGCCCGTCTGTCTATCTGTGTGCCCGTCTGTCTATCTGTGTGCCCGTCTGTCTATTTGTGTGCCCGTCTGTCTATCTGTGTGCCTATCTGATTATCTGTTTGCCTGTCTGACTATCTGTGTGCCTGTCTGACTATCTGTGTGCCCGTCTGACTATCTGTGTGCCCGTCTGTCTATCTGTGTGCCCGTCTGACTATCTGTGTGCCTATCTGATTATCTGTTTGCCCGTCTGTCTATCTGTGTGCCCGTCTGACTATCTGTGTGCCCGTCTGACTATCTGTTTGCCCGTCTGTCTATCTGTGTGCCCGTCTGTCTATCTGTGTGCCCGTCTGTCTATCTGTTTGCCCGTCTGACTATCTGTGTGCCCGTCTGACTATCTGTGTGCCCGTCTGACTATCTGTGTGCCCGTCTGACTATCTGTGTGCCCGTCTGACTATCTGTGTGCCCGTCTGACTATCTGTGTGCCCGTCTGACTATCTGTGTGCCCGTCTGACTATCTGTGTACCCATCTGACTATCTGTGTGCCCGTCTGACTATCTGTGTGCCTGTCTGACTATCTGTGTGCCCGTCTGACTATCTGTGTGCCCGTCTGACTATCTGTGTACCCATCTGACTATCTGTGTGCCCGTCTGACTATCTGTGTGCCCGTCTGACTATCTGTGTGCCTGTCTGACTATCTGTTTGCCCGTCTGTCTTTCTATCTGTCTGTCTGTTAATTCACCTGTTTGTCTGTGTATCTGAACGTCTATTTGTTAAAGGTTGTTATCCGTGTTGAAATGGTATATTTAATTGGTTTTCCTATTTAATTGGATTCAAATATAATTTATTCAAGAATATTGTATTGAAAATAATTCGAATGAGAGTACTACTACTGCTACTTAGGTAAGGCTATCGCCATCTGGTGTTAAGTGTTTCTAATCCGCCTCCGTCATTCACGGAGACCTCTCACGTGGCCGGGCTAGTATAAAGGGTGAAAGTAAGAGATGATAGGTGAGGATGAAAGTAGGTCAGTTAACTCATCGCGACGAATTAACCACGATAGTTTGCAGGGGAGCCCCGAGGGGGTTGGCCTGATAGGGTATATTGTTAGCAATGGGGTTGTTATACCTCATTATTAACAATCCCTTGTCCCATCATATATTGGTCTATATTTTTGCCAGTACAACTTCTAGAATACTAAAAAAAGTATGGTATGCATTTAGTTACGTGATCGGACCACGGGTAAAAGTTGATTATTAGGTACACCTACTTATTTGGTGCGTTTGAGTGAATTGTTGTTGTAGCCCGGTAATAATTTATCGGTTGTTAAAACTGTCTGCTGACTGAAAACATCTTATTTTCATTATAAAATGTGATTTCAGTTGGTAACGTTCCGCTTAAATTGTATGATATTGCATTTCTCTCGAAAGGCTTTTACAGACGAGAGTCAAGTGTGTTTATTTTGCGTCCATCAACAAACAATAGAACACAGAATTGATATACAAAAAAAAAACTCAAGAGTCAAATATTTATAAAAAGTTACTAAATGTAACTTTTCCCCACATTTCCTTATAAAGAATTTTTGGAAACAAAACCATACCAGAGATGTGAAACTTAGCACCTTAGATAAAATGTGTACATTAAAAAAAAAAAGAATGTTTAGTCTCCATTATAGTCTATGGTCTAGATGTTCTATTCTAGAAAAAAAAATTTAGACTACAAGTCACTGGCCAGTTAGAATTGAGTGCATTTTGCTAAATGCGTTCTATTTTTTTAAATCTTGGGTATTTTTTTTTTTGTATAGATAAGCATTATGCGAAGCTATTCTGTGTAAGAACAGGAAATTTCGTCCTCTGTATACAAAAATACCTCGTCTAAATTTGAGTAGAAATATGTAAAGATAATGAAAATATTACTTTTGTATGTAAGAGTGAATTTTGTGTCAAAATTTTGTATTGCATTATTAGAATAAAATTTGTGTGATAATCGTGTTTGTTTCATTGGCTTACCCCTTATCTTATCCCTTGATCACCTTGGTGGTGTGATATTACACACTATTTCAGTTTCCAGTGGTCGTGGGTTCGAACTCCACACAACGCAAACATTTGTATTCATTAGTATGTCTGTTCCTATGGTCTGGATACTTTCTATGTATAATATTTCTGTTTAATTTTTTAATCCAATTGTTTGGTACTAATTATACCAGTGTTATTCAAAGTGTGGGTCGCGACCCCCTGGTTGCTAAGCCTCAACAACTTTAACAACGTTAAAAAAGATATAATTTATTCATTAAATGACATTTATTGTACGTAGGCTAACACAAATTAAAGAAATATATGGATTTGATGTTTGTAATATAATGAAATGCATGGCTGATTTGATAATGATGATGATGAAAATGCATACAGGTTAGGAACCGCAGAGTAGGGGGTTGCAAAATATTTTTACACACTAAGAGGGTCATGTCACGAAAAGGTTTAAAAACACTGTATTATATAAATTCTTCATAGTTCTTCTTAGTTTAGTAGTCCTAAACTATAAAACCATGGTAACGGTGGAGCAGGGGGTACTAAAAATCTCCTGCAGAGATTTGGTTACCACCATAAACTACTGGACCTGGCAACTTATAATGGACGAACTTTGAAAACCGATGAGAAGGTTATGGAGCTAGAGGAATAGGTGAATAAGTTATACAGTATTCGTGGGGTACTTCAACGCTAAAGTGGATAAAATAAAAGACGATGAGCCGAGAAGGGAATCTTTAGTATCAGGAGTCTAAATCCTAGAGGACAGCAAGCAGACGCACAATATAAGCTCCATACCACGATACAGGATTTAAAATTTAGTACAAAATTTACCGATAAGGGTTTAGCGACAACTCTTGCTAAACTCAACTATTCATCCGGGTGACATGCTATCAGTTAGCTGCAACCTAGGGTTGCCAGGTGAAAATAGATAATAATTTTGGTAAACCAAAAAGTTTTTTCTTTTCTACACAGGGAACATATGTTTGCATATAAAAAAATGACCACAGGTAAAGGTCGTGAGTATTTAAATTTTTTCTCTATATTTAGAAGGAATTGATTCTTTTTGATAAAAATACACTAAACGGATTTTTTTTCTATACGACAACATTGAGTTGCCTATACAAAAAATGGGAGCAAGTAAAAGTTAGCATCTAGCAAAATTTGCGGTTACACGCACCTAGCAATTTATTAGATTTTAGTTCATCTTTAATTCAAACCAAGTTTCATTAAAGATTTACCCACTAATTAGCAGCGGAATTTTATGCTGCCTGGGCTAAAATTCTCTGCAACAGATTCCGTCAAAAAATATTCTTTTTTTCTTTCAAATTATTATATAGCTATACAAAGGGGGAGAGGTAAGTAGGTATATTATTCCGTCCGTGTCAACGGCCAGCTTATTTACCACTCTAAAAAGTATAAAAATAAAGGAAATAAAACTCCAAATAATATATTATTTTATATTACTTTCCAAGTTACCTACGCGTACAAAAGGAGACAAGTTTATTTGTGTAGAATCTTGCATTAGTTAATCTCAACTTTTATACAACTAATATCTAACTTCGAGAATCTTAATAGGTATTTAAAGACATCGTTAACGGGGTCATCACAATAATGATTTGCCTTATTCATAAAAAATGTAAATTCTTCAATAAACCTATTTTGTGTATAATAATGTTTGATCACTTTATGTTAATGTGAGAAGCGCAATGAAGTCCATTCCGAAGCACAATCTTCTATATTTAAAATTTAAATTTGAGATTACAGCGAAATATTTTTAATTTAAGAACCAGCATAATCTAAATGTTTAGTAGAATTGCATCACAACTTTTTTACATTTAATTGTCGATAGACCATTGACAAGTAGAGTGCTATATTGTACTCAACTTGTCGATGGTCCACCGACTGTATCATAGACAATTCAATTTACATTTTAATATGATAATTTTGCTAAACTCTCATATTAAGCTTTTAATTTTAGAAATAAGTATAGGGAATGGTACTTCAAAATCGACCACAATATTTCAACTAGCTAAAATAGGCCCGTCTTGGATGTCTTCATGAATAAAGAAATTTACACGTTTTATACAAACATGTACATAATATTATTATAGTTTCGGACATTTGGTTCCATTTTTTTTTACATTACAATAGTTATGTTATATACGTACGCATTTAATAAAAGGTAATTATTTTAAAAATTGACGCAGACGCAGGTATAAAAACATGTCTATGTAATAATTTCACATATTCGTACAAGTGTACAACATGGGCATTTGATCTTATTGTTTTAAAACAGATAAAAATCTCTTTCGACAGATGCAGTTAGAAATATTTACAATTTCTCAACAAAGGTTAATAATGTCTTTAAAACCAACAATAAAAAAACAGGTATACAGTAAAAAAAAAAAAATATATATATATATATATATATATATATATATATATAAAGTTAAGCAATAGCTGTAAATGATTAACGTTAAAAAAGTATACTTTAAAGAGTTTAAAAAAAAGGAAGCTATATCTATAAAAAAAAAATCGCATGCAATAAACATATGTATGTAAATACAGCCTTCCCATTAGCTAGTTATACAGTACAATAAAGATGGTTTTAAATAACAATACTAATAAATATTAAAAAAAAAAACGAGTATAAAGGCCGGTAAAAAAAGAAAAAAATAAGGCGCCGACCCCACATAACGGTAGTAAGACGAGGCAATGATAAATGTAAAATTTTATCAGTGATTTAAAAAAAAAAACAGAATTGACGGTGTCATCACTAGAGCAAAACGAGAGGAGCCAAGCTTGTACTAGTAAAAACCAAGTGATGCATACATCGCAATAGCAGGCGATAGAGTGAGACAGAGTTATAAGCTATCCTTATCGTTCTAAAATAGGGCTGTTGGCACTTGGTCGTTGTTGTCCTAGTATAATAACAATGGTTTAGATGTAATAGGTATTCTTGATACCAATCAAGAATAGACGAGAAAAAATATATATAAAAAGAAAAAAATTGCAATATATATATATATAAATTAAAATGTACTGCAATTTTCAAGCGCGATGCTAGAGCTAGAGTTTGAATAATTAAACCCATGTCAGTATGAAATTTCTTTGTCAGCTATTCTCTTTTTAACAGGGCCGTAGCTAGACCCAAGTTTAAGGTAGGGCAGAAACCATAATTGACTTCGAAAAAGCGAATCTATCTATATTTTTTGGGACCTTTCATTTTAAGATAGGGCACTGCCCTCAATGCCCCCCCCCCCCCCAACTCAGCTACGGCCATGTTTTATAATCATTGTAAAAATCACTTTTATTAGTCCACAGTTTTATTTTTCATATAATCTCTTTATGATTGCGCCAACGTATACAGTTAACTCGAGGTAAACCCAAAATAACGTAAACCATAGAATACTTTGGTAAGCTCGGCCATATTATGTACAGTTATTGTATATAATAATAATAAATAAATAAATAAATAATACACGATTACAAATACTAACGTTTACAAGTAAAATATACGATTTGTCTCGAAGTTAGCTAAGCGGAAGCATTCCCTCTCATATGCACAGTAAAACAGCGGTGTGTCGACTTTGATCGTAAAGTTATATTTAAAAAACGCACATAAAAACATGTACGGAACCCGCGAATGAAATAAACTTCTACACAAAGAGGATACATGCAATTTTACTTTATTGTTTAACAAAATATAAGAAGAAAAAACCTGCCCATTTTATATTGTACATTGTTTCATATAAAAATAAAGGCTATTTCACAGTACACAAGTCGACACGCCACCTCGCATAGCTCGTCTACCTACATCCTTCAAGCCGCATACAAAAATAGAGTTATTATAATGTACATACTATTTCTTATAGTAACAGATAATATAAATTGTATTGCTAATTGTAAACGATCTAGGGCAGCAGCTGAGAAAATATGCGTTTACGTTATACCACCAAATATATATATATATATATATATATATATATATATATATAGATGGGATCTTATATACAGGGTGAATCGTATTAGTTACAAAACATAAACACAATATCCGTACATTTATAAAACTAAACAATTTCACCACAGAATCAAAATCTGATAATATCTGTTTAAACTATCATACTCCATTCGATCAAATGACCGCGTGGTTTGCACGAAAATTTAGGAAATATTTTGAGATTTAAAAATTTGTTTTTTGGGGAAAATTATTCATTTTTACGAGTACTAACTATCACTGGATTATAATAATACCTCTACGTCCAACACCCTGTATATATTTAAGTCAAACCTTTATAACATATTGCAAAACATTTTATCTATTTCGTTCGTCAGTAACCTGATCAAATGATAAGACTGGTCTAAGGGAATTCTCATATATATATATATATATATATATATATATATATATATATATATATATATATATTTGATTATATAATGCACTATTTAAAGTGCAACCTACCACCAAATAGATACATTTATTTCATTAAATATTGCTTTAATCATTTACCATTTCAGTGGACACATATTGTCATAGCTAAATTATACAATAAAATACACAGTACAAGTAGTATAACATATATAAGGGAAAACTTTAGTTAGCAGCTTTAAAAGCACTATGCCCTATATAAATAAAACTCGAATACATTTTAACTTGTACGAATTTACATATAAAATCATCTGTGTTTGGGTACAGTGCGATAGCTAAATATAAAAGCTGTCTCGCTCTTACACTCGTGTTGTCATAAATTATTCCTAGTAACAATAAATAATAAAAAATAATAATAAAAGAATTAAAATGTTAAATGTAAATATATAACTTGGTTGTAATGAAGTAGAAAAAAATGTAAAACCAATCTAAAAATATATATATATATATATATATATATATATATATATATATATATAATTAATATTATTAGTATAAATTAATCCCATATTATTTAAAATTTTCCAGCAATATCGTATATAATTCTATATAATTTCTGCTTTGTCAAATCTATATGCAATTATACAAGTAACCATTAATCGACGAATTTGACTAAACAACCGTTTCACAAAAGGTCATTTAATCAACAATGAGTTACAAGACTGATTACTATCTGAGCAAAAGTTTTTTTTTTATTACATACTTATTTTATTTGCAAGTGTAAATTACTTAAATAAATACTTAGTAAAATTTACAAATAAAAAAGCGACCTTGTGTGAAACTAAGGGCATCATCGCGACACCAATTCTAAATTGTAACAGCAGCAGAATATAAAAAGCATTGTCTGTAAATACAATAAATTTAATAAAATAAACCAGTCAAAACTGACAATTGTTTAGTAAGAGTGCGTGCGAGCGAGACAGCTGCAAATCCAAACCAAACACTACACAGCTTACATTTACAGCAATACACATACAACTATACTATGTAAATACACTAGCGAGCAATCAAAATGGCCCACCCACTTATTGCCGTTTCAAATGTGTCTAAAAAAATGTTACAATACAAAAAATTATTTTAAAACCATTAGAATAAGGTCTAATAAGCATCATTAATTGGATGTCTAGGACATACGTTACGTCTATATGAAATGGCAAGCAGTGACCGGCTCTGTTCCGTTTACTCGCCAGTTTACTTAACTCATTTGGCATATCTAGCACACCGTTTTTATCCCTTAGCGGGTATCGCATTTTGTGACATAATGGGAGGTTATCCATAGACAAAACAAGACTCGTGGCGCTGCCAGCGCCCACATATTGTATACAAATACTATGCTGGTTAAAACTAAGAACAAGGAATTACATAGAAGGAATGATAAAAACTGTAAATCATACGATCGCCTCCTTTCTTCTCATGCAAATATAATTAGTAAAAAGAAGACGAAAGATATACCATCAGTTGTAATTTTTCTCAATTCATAGCAGGCTAGTGTATAGAAAATGTTTGATCTGTCAAATATTTGTCAATAACAAATTTTACATTACCGGATTATATATTCGACACAGTTTATGTAGAAAGTATGCGAGCAGGTTGTATCTGAATTCGGTAGGGTTATACGGCCGTATAACATTTTCTATACACTGGCCCGCTATGAATTGACAATTTTATCACTACTTCTATGTAATTCCTTGTTCTTAGGGTTGAAATTGGAACTAGACGTTACTGCTATCTCTGTCGTATCACATATAGTTGTATGCGACAGAGAGATAAGTTTTGCGTCGATCTCCTTCTACGTCGTGATAGCCACGTCACGTTCTGTGCATTCGGTATTTTTCGCAGGTAAATTACAATTTTATTTCCTTTTGATGAAAACACATGTACTTGTAGGATTAATGCAATTTTTTATAAACTGCATATACATATGTAACTCAACATATGCAATTAGCTACTGTATCAATGCAAAAACTGCCACGTGCACAGATCTCGGTGACTTCTCTATTAAGAATCGTAGCGTCGTAACCTGTACTTTATTAATTTTTGGTCTCAGAATTGTATGATAAAGTAAATTAAACAATAAATAAGAAATTATTTAATAATAGTATATAAAAATATCACACGGTAGCTGTATTGTAGTGACGTTTTGTGGACTTGCATTAATGTACAGTAAGTTAATTAACGTAATTAATTCCTTAAAACTTCTATTCGTATTTATTAATGGGGTCTTAGGAAAAATACATTTTATTATTCTAGAAAAACAAATATATTATTAAAAAAAAATTCGAAAAAAAAGAACAGCCTGTAGATATATCAACTGCACTATCTAATCATCTAATAATAGATGTATTCATACCTTGTACTTTGTAGTACCATTAATACAGATACAGGTTGTTCCTTTTTCAAGAATTTAAATTTACTTTTTTTTGTTACTGTATCATTTTTTTTTCTAAGAAAAAAAATTGTCGAGGCCCTATTAATGAATACTAACACCAGTTTTAAGAAAAAGGTAACGGTTAATTAACATACTGTATATTTGTTAACAAAATGTATACGAAGTCATTGAATATACGGCCATTCTTTATGGCAGTCTATGGGAAAGGCCTATGTTCACCATTGGACGGATAATGCCTGAGACGAAGGACGAATCACAGATAGAATACAATAGATAAATAGTAAAATATACCATTTCACTGCTAGATAATCGTTAAAATGTATGTTAATGACTCCGAATTCAAATTGTATACGAAGCAAGTGCGAAGATGAAATGTTGTATGGAAAATGATAAATTACAAGATAGACAAGTGTTTACGTTACGATTCCTAAAAGAGTTCTTTAAGGCCACGAGAGATTTCTAAAAAAAAATTACTTCGATCCGAGAATAAGTAGTTTACAGAGGTTAAATAAAAAAAACTGACTAAATTTAACGTAAAGCTTTCAATATATGTATGGATTGTGGACGATTTTAAATAGAGGCCATAGAATGGATATCTCGCTGTTGATGGATTTATTTTAATATATCTCCTATTACCTATGCTACCGGCGTCGCTTACAAATAAACCTATACCCGAGTTATTTTAATCATTAAAACGTATTAATATCCACACGCCTCTATTTAGAATGGTATGAATGATATCAATGATTAGTCTACAAAATGTTACCATAAAATGTAAAATTATTTTTTTTACAATAAAGCGCCATCTGCCGCGACTTTGTTCTATAATAAAGCTATCGATCGCACATCACTGCAATGTATACTTTATTTATGTACAAATATAGTTGATTTTTTAGTGCCCGCGAGTTATTTAATCACAGAGGTACCAAACGGGACAGGAGCCCGCTGATAAATTAATTCTTCATTAGTAAAACCCTTTTTGAATGTGCGTAAATCACTAACCTACCGAAATGGAGTTTCTAAATTAGGCATAATTGAGTTTAAAGACGGTTGAGTACAGTACCATTTTACTTTTTATTAAAATAAACGTTCAATTAAATATGCAAGCATACTGTGACGCATATAAGTCCGTCCCTATCGCGCATATACAAGACCGAAAAAGGTAAGCGACGAAGCGCGAAACAGTAACTGTACCGCGACGTGTAACTGTAACTGTAACATGTAACTTATAAGACTATAATTTGTAAGCCACCACGTCTTACGCAAACGAGGGACGGAGCGGACTGTCAAATGGAAAATATACCTACATGAGATATTAATTATAAGATCACGCCTCGTCTCATGATGTCAATGCTGTAATGAGAGAATTTTATAGAATCCACTTCTTCATTATTCTCTTTGTCTTGGTGTGAAGTTAAAAAAATCTAATATTAAAAAAAAAATATTTAAAATACCATGCATTCCTTCCACTCGTTGCCTGAGACGCGGTACGGCACTTTTCTACAAGTTATTGCTTTCAACTGGTTTCTTGTTGCGACACAATTTTGACACATGTATACAATTAACAACCATCTTCCGGACGTCTTAAGGTGCTATATCGTCACACGTCGCGACCGGCGGAGGGAGCTGGTTCGCGGTAGGGCGAGAACGTTAATCGCCGACCCCACCTGCCGCTCGTCGTCTGCGAATTAAAAATAAATTTAATATATATGTATGTACATTTTTATATTTGTTTATTTATATTATTATTACCAATTGTCGGGTGGTCCCAGTATAGAATGGGCCACTCCTTTTTTTCTAAATGTTGTAAGTTCCTGTAGTCGCCTCAACTAAGGGAACATAATGGCCGATGGATGGGCAGCAGCGTCCCTCTTAAAAATCACCAAAGCCTAACTGCGGTTGCTAATCCGCCTACCAAGCTTTATTTTTTTATTATTTTTTATACAACTTAGAATGGCAAACAGCCGACGGCCCACCTGATGGAAAGTGGTAACCGTCGCCTACAGACATAAGCAGTACCATGAACATAACAGAGTCCTGTTTCGCTTATGAGGCCCCCATGCGTTGCCATTCCTGAGAACTCAGGTGTTATTCCTCTGTACCCAGTAAATTCAAGCTTGGAAACTACTGGCAAAACCTCATTTTTGGGAGCGGCCTGTGTTCCGCTGAGCGGTTTCGGAGATTAATGTAAACAACGGTCGTGGCACATGATTTTTATTTTTTTTTATTTATGCAACTAATATACCCTTTCCATCAGGTGGGCTGGCATATAAGCTGACAGCCCACCTGATGGAAAATGGTAACCGTCACCAGTAGACACGAACAGTACCATGGACATAAGAGTATAATATGTCGCCCATGATAATCTTCATGCGTTGTCATTTCTGAGAACAAAGGTGTCATGCGTACCCTATAATTTCGCTGCCACGTCCCACCCTTCAAACTGAAACACAACTGCTTCACGGCAGAAATACGAGTGGGACAGAGTTACCCAAGCAGAACATTACATAACCTTCAAGAAAAGAGTATATTCCTTTTTAAAAGGCCGGCAGCACACCTGCAATGCCGCTGGTGTTGCGGGTGATCATGGGCGGCGGTAGTCACTTACCATCAGGTGAGCCGCATGCTCGTTTGCCCCCTGTGTTGTAAAAAAAAGACGACTTTTGTACAAATGTATATTATGATAATATTTCTAAATCTATATAGATTACCTATCGGCTGCCATGAGAGCTAAGTGGGCATCACGCTGAGCCGACACCTGCACTAGCTCGGCCACCGTCGCCGCTTGCTGCTCCGCTGTAATTCATATATTTATTTATATTTTATTCAACTGCGACATTAGACAATACATTATTATAAAAATTATACAAAAATATTTGAATAAAGTGCAGTACAATCCCGGTGTAGAATGAGCCAACCCTTCCTTTCCAGGGGGAACAGGATTGTTAGCAATGCAGTTTGACAGCCCCATTGCTAGCAATATACCTTAATAGGTCGACCTCCACATAGTTCCCCCTGGAAACCATCGTGAACAATTCGTATTGAATTCGTCACGATGGGCTTAGTGACCTGCTTCATCCTCACCTATCATCCTTCACTGATGCCCCGCCGGTGTGTACCGATAGCGCGGGTGGGGTTACCATTCCATTATCATCCATTTAAAAAAAAAACCTTTCCTGCAGGTGTTGTATAAGACGACTAAGGAAACCTAATGGTCGACGGATGGGCAGTCACTACCGTCTTATGCAAACATTGCCAAAGCCTAACAGCGACTTCCAATTTGTATACCAAGCGTAGCATCTACTAGTCAAACCTTCCTTATGGAAGATGCCCATGTCCAGCAGTGGGCAGTTAACAGCTGATATAATGACGATCATTTGGGCTATTGTTTTCGCCTACTCCCAAACTAAACTCATTGATTAAAAAAATCGGTTTACAACTGACGTAGTTAGGTAACAAATATAAAAAAAAATACAACCGAATTGAAACCTCCTCATTTCAAAAGTCGGTTAACAAATAACTGAAAACTATTTTTATTATTTCACAAAAAAAAAATAAAAAAAAAAATGGAAGCTGTCAACATAAAAATATATAATTAACATAGATTACTACACAAATGATCACGGATGATGATGATGAAACAGTCAAGCAATGAGCGTTATGTTACATCTACAACGGACTAGTGATAAAACTACATATTAATGGTTAACAGCTACTACGATGATCTATATGTGTTTACTGTATCTTTTATATTATGTTTTGTTTTAAAGAAATCAACTCTCCGAATTGTCACTAGTGAAAATTAGGTTTGGAAGGTCTTGTGGGCACAATTTTATATCAACTTACCCCTTAAACAGGTATAGAGATATGCAAGCACATTTGCTCAACGGCAGACATTGGCGAGGCAGAGATACCTACCCATGTAAACGACGTTGTGCTAAGTCTCCATCTAGCTTGAGTAATGCTCAATACCCTGAGCGTTGAACTACATATTTACATGATAGTCCATTGATCTTCACTGAGTAACAGCTGATATACTAAGACTAAACCATATTTACCAGATAACAGTCGAAAGAGTCGCAACTCAAGTCGAGCCAGTGCACACGCTCCCGCTGTCGCATGGTTCTTCCTTTACAACAACTGGTCCACCAAGTCTCAAACATATTTACCGGACAGCGGTCGAGAGAGTCACGGCTCAAGTTAAATTAGTCTTCACGAGATCCGGTCGTTGTGTGGTTTTTCTCTGGCAAAAACTGGTGCGCTGAGTCTCAAATACATTCAGCAGACAGCGGCCGACTTCCATCTCCATTGAACAACAGTTGAAATATCGAGGCTCAACATATTTACCAGACAGCGGCCGCGAGAGTCGCCGCGTAAGTCGAGCCAATCTGCACACGCTCCCACCGTCGCATGATTCCTCCCTTGCAACAGCTGGTCCACTGAGTCTCAAATACATTCAGCAGACAGCGGTCGACATCCATCTCCACTGAACAACAGCTGAACTATCAAGGCTCAACATATTTACCAGATAGTGATCGAGAGAATCGCCGTTCAAGTCGAGCCAATCTGCACACGCTTCCATTGTCGCATGGCTCTTCCCTTGCAACAGCTGGTCCACCGAATCTTAAATACATTCAGCAGACAGCGGCCGACTTCCATCTCCGTTGAACAAAAGTTGAAATATCGAGGCTCAACATATTTACCAGACAGCGGCCGCGAGAGTCGCCGCTCAAGTCGAGCCAGTCTGCGTGCACTCTGCTCGTCGTGTGGATCGTCCCTAGAGCGCCGCTGGGCGACGAGCCGCGCCCACCGGGCCTCGAACCACAATTGCATCGCATCCCGTTCATCCACATCGCCCGCACCGCCGGCGCTAGGACCTTTGTTAGTGAGGCGACGATAACTTCTGACGTTTTACTGATTATTTATTTAGATGTAGTTAGATTAGGGTGATGTTAGAAATATCTGAATTGTTCCGATTCATACATATTACAACTAAATTGTGTCCCACAAAAAAACTTCAATCTTCTTTTTTTATACAACTTAGAATGGCAAACGAGCTGACGGCCCATCTGATGGAAAGTGGTAACCGTCGCCTATAGACATGAGCAGTACCATGTACATAACAGAGTATACTGTTTCGCCCATGATATCCTCATGCGTTGCCATTCCTGAGGACTCAGGCGTTATTACTCTGTACCCTGTAAATTCTCTGCCATATCCCACCCTTCAAACCGAAACACAGCCATGCAAACACAACTGTTTCACGGTAGAAACGCGAATGGGACAGAGGTGGCCAAGCAAAACGACTTTTGTGGCAAAACCAGTTATTTTAATTTAAAAACTAAACTAATGAACCGACTTTAATAAAATATCAATGGGACCATTCTGGAAGGATATCCTTTCAGATAAAAAAAATAATAATCCAAATCGGTTTACAATTGATGGAGTTATGAGGTGACAAACATAACAAAATACGATCGAATTGAGAAGTTGCTTCTTTTGAAGTCGGTTAAGAAAACAGAACAAATCAGATATTATTATACTTTCATATTCAAATGAGAAACAAGACTGACGTATATGTAATATATATATAATATAAGAATAATGTACACAAGTAACATTCAATGCATATATAACTACTATACTAAGGGCCTGCGCACATCCACATAGTTTCATGGTATTTATTTTTTAATACCTGAATGTGACAAAAAGTGATCTCTGACTACCCCTCATCTAATGGTATCTGTTATTTATTTATTTATTTAGAATATAATATCAAATGGAGGCGAATGTAATGGATACACACAATGCATTTTATTCATATTTCTTTTTATTGTTATTTTTAATTAGGTATTTCGCGACTGACTCTTGGCCACAGAATATCAGTGTTTTGCTCTTTTAAGGGCAAAACAATAAACTGAGTTGTGACCATTTTGTGTTACTATGGCACACACACAAAAGTAAGAGAAAGAATGGAGATTGTTAGTTTGTATGTTATGTTTTTTTTTGTTTTGTGCTTTTTCATTTTCATTCTTTTATCTCTTTTACTGTGTATTATGTGTATGTTTTTTTTTTATTGTAATTTGTGTGCTGTAAGTAATGTAAATAAATTATCTATCTATCTATCTATCTTTTTGTTATTACAAATTATTCTAACATCAATATCGAATATGGTGTGCGCCGACCTTATTGCAACATAAAAATTAAATATTAGAATGCAAGTCACAACAATGAATTATTACAATAAACGCCATAAACTGGAGCAAAACAGATTAAAATTTCAATTCACAATCAATACTTTTAATACTAGCTTTTACCCGCGACTTCGTCCGTGTAAACGGGATAAAAAATAGCCTATATTATTCTCATCCCATTTAGAAGGCGTATACCAAATTTAATAGTAATTGGTTAAGCCCTTAAGGCACTACAAGGTACTAAACAAACTCACTGGGGGGAAAGGGATTGTCAGTAATGGAGTTTGACAGCCCCACTGCCAGCAAATTGCCCTATTAGGTCGAACTCCACGTGGTTCCCCCTGGAAACCATCGTGAACAATTCTCGTTGAATTAGTCACGATGGGCTAACTGACCTGCTTCATCCTCACCTATCATCGTTCACTGGTGCCCCGCCGGTGTATACCGTTAGCGCGGGTGGGGTTACCATATCATTATCACCCATTAAAAAAAAAAACACACTTTCACATTTATTATATTAGTAAGGATTCATGATAATGAAACATGCAACACAAAAACAAAACACAAATTTATAACAAATACAAATACAAATTAAAAATTACACGAATTTAATAATTTCTAATAAGACTCTATGGTGGATGCATAATATGTATTCAACAATGGACAATTTGAAAAAGACTCTATTTTCCGCGCTTAGCATCTCATTTGGGCCATTGTGCGTAAAAACAATGGACTGAAATAATGAATTGTGACGATGATCACACAAAATGAGAGAAAGAGACATAAATAGTAATGGAGAAATGCTATTACACAGTTATCGATTATTTAAATGACAAAAAATGTAATAAAAGACGTAATGTATTAAACAATTACATAAAATATAAACCATAATTTTATATGATAATTTGACATAGAGAATATTGCAATTTGGAAAATGTTTGGACTGTATAATTGTAATATAATGTAGACTTGAAACCATTCTAACATGTGCATACCTCCGCGGGGTGCTGCATGTTGTGTGCCTGTATATGTATGTAACTTCTTATTGTACTATGTAGCAAGCGAATAAATATGATTTGACTTAATTTGATTTAGAATTCTAACAATCCCTATACCAACAGCTGGATCTGGCTGAAAAGCAGTTAACCCTTCTTTGCATAACGGTGGAAACTTCCATCATAACATTGAATGCCTAAAAATTATATAAAAGACCAAGATCGCTTTAAGTTGACCGTGTCTGGATACCTTTTTAATGTCCATTGCAGGGAAAAAAACATAGTCTGTCAAATTTATTTTTTTAACCACATTTCATTTAATTTTGAACATAATATATCTATCTATCTATGTTCAAACGGTTGCTAATGGAATCCATTCGTCATGATGAGCCTATTGGTCTACTCTCTTATATATATATATATATATATATATATATATATATATATATATATATATATATATATAAAATTAAAATGTACTGCAATTTTCAAGCGCGATGCTAGAGCTAGAGTTTGAATAATTAAACCCATGTCAGTATCAGTCAATCTATTTCGAGGTAATAAAAAAAACGTTACAGAGTAGATAGAAACATTAACTAACCTGAGTGCCTCGTGGGATAGCGGGAGCAGTAGCCGGCGGGCGGCGGGGGCACCGGTGGCGGCTCCTGCAGCGCTCCTGTCGACTTGTGGGAACTGCTCATCCGCGCCTGTTGCTGCGGCGACTCCTGTATCGTGACGTCACTCGTTTAAGATAATCCGGACCTTTCACTATTGTATTGTAACGCGACAACTTCGTGCGCGGCACTCCTGCGTTGCACTCGTGGAGTGACGCGATCAAAGTTGACGTGCTATAACTCAACTCAAGTCGGGAAGACTTGTATAATTTCTACAAGTACATGTTACAATTTTAAAACTGAATCTAAATTAAGTATTTATAATTAAATTAATAAAAAAAAAATATCCACAGACAAAAATCACTTAATCATGACGGGATCAATACGGAAATACTTTATCCATTGCAAGAGAAGTATCGATTCAAAATTGATGCAGATATTGCGTTAAATAATAAAAAATAACGTCGAAAAAACCACCGTCATTTTGAAGTCGCTTAATTATTATACTTCAGTAACTGAATACATTATAAATATATAATTTAAATAATATTATATATATATATATATATATATATATATATATATATATATATATATATATATATATATATATATATAATTTGGCATATTTATTAAAACAAAACATGATATCTTTTTTACAATTTTTTCCTTAAAAATAGAACTGGCATACTACATATGCCATATATTTTTACATGAAATAAATAAATATATATTTATTTCATGTACTTTTTTTGACTAAATTAATAAATAAATATATTTTATTAACTAAATATTGATAATTGCCAGGAGCAGATGTTAAAATTTATTAATATCAAGATTGTTTAATAAATATGTCAAATATATAAAAAAAAAACATACAATATCTAAACCAACCAACACTACTCTGTTTGAGGGAAAATCCGATAGTTTACGGCGTGCCTGACGTGCGTACATGACGACTTGTGAAAGTGGACGAAGCAAGACATACGAAGTATATAGATCATACCATTCTATTCTCTAGCTACCCTTAAGAGACCTGGCGTGAAGATAGACATCCAACAATGACTTTCGAAAAATAATTTTTAATCTTTATTTTTTTTTTTTATTTGTTTATTTATTTAAGGACAATCAACAAAGCATACTTTTATATCAATTTAAAACAGACTATGGTTACATTATAAAATTTTGCCTCAACCCTTAAATACCTGAAATTTTAAATTTGATACCGGAGATTGCATTGTTTCATTGTTAAATAAATTTAAATATTTTGATTACCATAATGCCTAAAGTATCTAAAATGATACCAAATGTTTTTTCAAAATAAATATATAAAAATATCGTATTGATTTTTTTTTACTATTTTTCCCCATTAGTAAACACAGTAAAGGGTACACTTATATATTTTTTAAATTTGATTTAAAAAATCAGGCTTTTAACGGTTAATTAATTAATCTTTATATCAACACTCAAAGTTATAATAATAATCGCTCAATATATAGACATCGGAGCGGTATCACTCAGATATCTATGTACTAAATTCCTCTGGACATTAAAAAGGAAGGAAAGGTCATCACTTATTTCGATGTTGTCCACACCAGTTGAATATCTATATTCAATTTCGATATTATATATTTGATGATTAATATTTTACACATACATTAAACCAATATATAGATATTGCTATTACAATATATAGATATTAAAACTGCAACACATAGATATTTTAACTGCAATATATAGATATCGCTACTACAATATATAGATATTGCTGCTACAATATATAGATATTGCTGCTACAATATATAGATATTGCTGCTACAATATATAGATATTGCTGCTACAATATATAGACATTGCTGCTACAATATATAGATATTGCTGCTACAATATATAGATATTGCCGCTACAATATATAGATATTGCTACTACCATATATAGATATTGCTGCTACAATATATAGATATTGCTACTTGTTACCCACTTTTATACAGAAGTAAATTACGATACTATTTAAATTTTATGTCAATTATCAGGAATTCGTAACATGCATTTGAAATAGCGCGATCGAGTGCAACAAACAGTCCACTAATAGATTAGAGAGAAACCGCAGCCGAAAGTAAAAAATAAAATGTTTCACAGAAATGGTTACAATACGAAAACGAGCGGTAGTATTCGTGACTTTTTTTTATACAACTTAGAATGGCTAACAAGCTGACGGTCCACCTGATGAAAAGTGGTAACCGTCGCCGTCGCCTATAGACATGAGCAGTACCATGGACATAACAGAGTATACTCTTTCGTCCATGATACCCCCCATGCGTTGCCATTCCTGAAGACTCAGGTGTTATTCCTCTGTACCCAGTAAATGGTCCCCGTTGCAATTTATTAACTTAATTCAAGTCCGTTTAGAGCTTTATATATTAAAAAATGTTTCATTCATGATAACACTAATAAAATACTATACAAGAAATTTACTTAACTCTATACAGTACACACTACCAAATAACCGTAAACAAGTACAGAGATAAACCGCAAAGCAATCCCGCAGTATAATACGGTAACGAACAAATACGAGGCAATTATATATTATTATAATTATTAGCCTATAGGCGACGGATACCACTTATTATAATTATTAGCCTATAGGCGACGGTTACCACTTATTATAATTATTAGCCTATAGGCGACGATTACCACTTATTATAATTATTAGCCTATAGGCGACGGTTACCACTTATTATAATTATTAGCCTATAGGCGACGATTACCACTTATTATAATTATTAGCCTATAGGCGACGATTACCACTTATTATAATTATTAGCCTATAGGCGACGATTACCACTTATTATAATTATTAGCCTATAGGCGACGGTTACCACTTATTATAGTTATTAGCCTATAAGCGACGGTTACCACTTATTATAATTATTAACCTATAGGCGACGATTACCACTTATTATAGTTATTAGCCTATAGGCGACGGTTACCACTTATTATAATTGTTAGCCTATAGGCGACGGTTACCACTTATTATAATTATTAGCCTATAGGCGACGGTTACCACTTATTATAATTGTTAGCCTATAGGCGACGGATACGACTTATTATAATTGTTAGCCTATAGGCGACGGTTACCACTTTCCATCGGGTGGGCCGGCAGGCTTGTTTGCCATTCTAAGTTGTATAAAAAAAATTAGACCTCGAATTATTTACGAAACAGACAAAAACTCAAAACCTATTTTGCAATTCGTAACTCAAAAATCTTAAACTTTCCATTCGACTTGAATTAAACTAATTAAATCCAAACAATATTTGCGACTTCATACAAATTGTTTACTATTTGTTACGGTACATACAACATACACAAAGCTGTTCTCATGCACACCATACATAGCTTATCTTACTAACAAACTAAAAGCAAGTACTTAAAAATAGGCTCTTTGCGCAGGCAATGTAAATAAATACGTGTTAAGAGGGTACATACCGAAACATACCCAAATTTGACAACGTCGGAATTATGTGAACTAGCAGTATATAGTGGCTTTCACTACGTGAGTGTATAGAAACCTATGTGCTAAGTTAGGATATAACCTTCCCATACGCTAAACTTCATTCATATCAGTTCAGTAGATTTTGAATGAAAAATTAACAAACATTCATTCCCATCTATCGTTACAATGTCTAGCATTTATAATGTTAATAGGGCTTTCAAAAACAATTTTTTTTTTAATGTTTCCTTATAATTATTTAAAAAGTGCTGTGACAGCAATGTAAAGCGTCAATTATAGAAAGATTTACACATAATCCTGTTTAAAAAGGTTTGCACTTAGGTACTTCATACTTTGTCGAAAATTGTCAAATAAATTTCTTATATCACAATACAAATGTTGAAATTTCGCATTGTTTATTTTAAATACACAATCGGGACTTGACGCGATGTAAAAGACGTTTCGACGTGCATTGTCGACGTGACCATGGCGTGGTCAAGACGACAGTCCCGTTGTGACCGCAACGTGGTGTAATCCACGTCGAAATATTGGCAATAAAGAAGCAGGTATGTAAGTACTGTTTACCTGTAAAGGCTTTTACATCGCGAATGTATATTTAAAAGACAAATTATCTATGATTACTTTATAAGAATCGTATTACCTAGTCCACTAGACAAGTGGAAAGCGAATTGGACGATAGAAACAACATCACTAACGAATCCGTGAGATAGAGTGAGATAGCAACGTCGGATGTCTCATTCTAATTCACGAAATCGCTAGCAATGTCGACTCCATCGACGAATTCGCTTACCACTCGTTTAGAGAGTCTGATTAACATTACAGTTCACTAAATGACAGATAGTTCCGACGTTGTCACGTGTGGGTAAGTAACGAATTATGGTATGAAAGCTCTTAACGTTATCCGCCAACTAAGACGCAAGCAATACGTACGACCTAAACATACACATCACAGGCGGACGTAAACAGAGCACGAGTGGGAAGCAGTCAAGGGACGAACAAAATACGACCGTCGTTGGACAGGTGGCGAAACATTGCAAATAGTATTTTGGCGTTGGATCACGTGACCGCGCACACATACACACACGCGCACACAGACACACACGCGCACACGCACAAGTATGTAACAAAATATAGAAACATGGCGTAAGATACAAGAGGAAAAATACAGTTAGTAAGTACGGAGAATATATTTTTTAATTTAGTAAAAAAAACACGGCGTTACTCATACCACTGATTAAGCATGTTACTTAAGTCGAAATAATCATAATACGGCAGAGATCGTGCCTTTGACGGTACATACTTGTAATTATTTATATTCTCTCCGTCACAATCTAGCTTATATGTGGTTAGCCGAGAGCTAATGCAAAGTTTCTTTTTAAAAAGTCCACTAAAAAATCCGTAACCAAAGTATTTAATTCTACGTTCTCAAGTGTAACTGTCGCAGTTAAAACTCTTAACCAGTCAAAAGTACCTAACCTAATCGGGGGGAAAGGGATTGTTAGTAATGGGGATAAATAGCCCCATTACTAGCAATATACCCTGTCAGGTCGACCTTCACGACTTCCTGGAAACCATCGTGGCTAATTCTAGTTGAATTCGTCACGATGGGCTAACTGACCTGCTTTCATCTTCATCAGTCATCTATGACTGGTGCCCCGCCAGTGTATACCGATAGCGCAGACGGGGTTACCATACCATTATCAACCTGTGTATAATCATGTACAATAGCGAGCAGTTAAAGGCCTTATTAAAATATTTTATAATTAATTATAATTAAAGAATCGCCCGCATTGTCTATGTGTGCTCTCGATGCGGTCAAACGTGTGCGCGTACGCCGTATCTTTTTTTTTTTTAAATCATTGCCTAACACCGGATCCAACGCCAATGAGAAATGGTCAAGCGTGAGTCGACCGTGCCAACGTACAGTCAGCGGGCGCTGATGGTGCTATATGCGAGCTGCATGCGACTCACGACACTGTATGATATGCTTTGCTTACGTGACGCCTCAGCACCGGCTCCGAAACCCACTGAAAATGTCAACTACTGGTTAGTCTACTCATTGTGTCCGTGTGTCACCTCTCAGCCACACCGCAGAGCAACTAGTATATTAATAAAAATAAAAAAAAATTCGCTCCGCAAGAATTAACTTTTTTAAGGCACTTCCTTCCACGCACAACCACTCTTTGGAATCAACTTCCAGCAGCAGTTTTTCCGAACCGATACGACATCATAACTTTCAAGAACAGAGCATATTCCTTTTTAAAAGGCCGGCAGCACACCTGCAATGCCGCTAGTGTTGTGAGTGACCATGGGCGGCGGTAGTCACTTACCATCAGGTGAGCCGCATGCTCATTTGCCCCCTGTGTTGTAAAAAAAAACAACTAAGACGGCAAACAACCGTATTGTAAACGGTTAAAGTCTATGGACGCCTGCAACACTAGCGCTGTCTAGAGAGCTTTGACGTTTATAAGAGACATTATTACAGCCTCCAGGAACAATCTGTTTATTACATTTGTAATTGATTAATCAAAAAGGTGAAAAAATCCAATGAAAAATCCTCGAGAGTAAGCAATTATTTTTTATACATAGCAGTTCGTATTTGTAATACTGTTATGTAAAGAGAAACAACAATACAAAACAAATAAAAAAAAATCTTGTATTATTATTTTTCTACAGGGCAATTTTTTTTAAATTATTTCTTAATCAAATATCTATTAAGTGCCAATATTAATCTCTTTACAAAAGAGGATTTATAATTTTTTAACGCTGTACTGATGTACTATTGCGATAATACATTTAAAATAAAACGTATAAAAAAAGTATTGATCTGATTTTTAGAGAAAGCGCCCTTGTCCATATTTACTATAAAATTGCAAAATTACCTTACACTTTGTTTTTGAATTCCTTGTTGCTAAATTACGGTGTTACCACTAAATATAATTCTACTAGTTGCTAACTGCGTGAAGTGTGAAGAGGCAAAATTTTGGAATAGTGCCAAAATAGATATTTTCAAATTTGGACGCTCTAATAACGGACACCTTTAACTGTGTATCTTTTGTTAAATAAGCCCATTATAATGGTTCGATTGCAGGTTAAAATTAACTTTAATGAAGTATATACAATATAATAAATTTGCAAAAAGAATGTTGAGATGTTCCTTAGATTTTGAATAAGTATATTAATTTTTATATTTATTAAGGAATATCTGTAAATGAATTTCACTAACGTGGCAACACTGAGGCTACGTTCCAGAGTTATGCATATAATAATAAATAGAAATATGATGAATATTAGGTGAAAATTAATATAACAGAATTATGGATAATGTAGCGCGAACGTGCTTTATAGACGAAGTGGTCTTAATGCCTATAATTCAATGAAATCAGATTTATGAAGGCACACAAGATACGGTACTTTCTGATGATATAACTATGAAGCGAAACATTGTCTAAGTTATTATTTAAATAAAAAAAAAATTACCTTGTGCCGAGGTCCGAGCCTGTTCAGGTAGCTCGATATACTCTTCATGATGCTTTTTCTTCTTCTCTCTCTCGCCAGCTCGGGGTCCGAAAAGGATGGAGTGACTGGAAGCGGCATTAGAGGTGGGGCGGGGCGGGGCGGTGGCGGAGGATACTCTTCTGGGGGAGGCGGGGGCGGAGGAGGCGATTGACTCGGAAGCACCGGTGGGGGAGGCACCGGAGGGGGCAAGTTCGACACGGGAGAAACTCGAATGCGGCGCGTCGACCTCCGACCGGTACGGGGGCCACTACCGAGCCTCTCAAGTACCAACCTCCGGACCACCTCGGTCTGCTCATCTCGCTCTCGCTTGATCTCCTGCACCTTGTGCGTAGTGTCGGGCGCGGGCGGTGGGCTTACTGGCGACACCGACCCTGAACTCAGGTTCAGGGAAATAGTCCAATCTGTATTACGAGACGGCGACTCCGCACTCCGCGAATTGGAGCCCGTGAACGTCTCGCTTGCCGACCTGCATATCGCCGGCGAATACAGCCTTATCGACGTCGCGCCGGCCGTAGTAAAAGTTACGGAAGCGTTTGTATTGGAACACATAATACTAATAGTTTTTGGCATTTCAGGTACAAGTGGGGGGGAGGTGTCATCCAGCGATACCTCACTTTTCGTTTCCACGGACTTGGCTTCGATGTCCGTGTCCTTTTCGAGGGGTGGCGATATGTCGGACAAACTCAACGAGTCCATTTTAACATCGACAGGGACTACGTTTTCAGTTTGTTTGCTATCGTCGGATTTTATTTCGAGACTTTTCGGTGCGCTCTCGCTGCTGGATTTCTCGCTAGATTCATGCTCTATCGATTTCAACAGTTGTGGCGATTTCAAATCCTCTGGCACTAATTCACTGTCCGATTTTAGGTCTACGTCGTCGATCGGTTCGAGAATAGTCGTGACGGAGACGAGGGCGTCCTGTACTTGGCTGACCTCTTGACTAGCAGGCTTGAGCATTGTTTCGGAAAAACTGCTTTCGATGAAATTCATTGAGCGGTCATTACTGGGCGAGTATGTATCATACTCGTCGTCGACGAACTCCATGTAACCCTCGTTGCGGGGTGTTGCCGACATCTCTATGGAAGGATCCTGCTCACCTTCGTCTGCAAATTCGAAGTTTTCGTACGCGTTGGAATATACGACTGGCTCGGGGCTAGTGCGGCCGCACACGTGCGATGTTATTGCCGAAATGTTTTTGGCGTCATGTACCGTCTTTGGCCCGCTGAGTGTCCGAGGATTCTTGCTCCTTTTCCTCTCCTCTTTCTCATCGAGAGCGCAGTCGTCAAGAACAACGCTCTCGGCCGCCCAATCGGATAGTTCAGTCTCGGTAAGGGCCAGTGTGGTCGCATCCCGGCAAGACTCGGACGACTCTGACTCCGCTGCGACCACGGTGGGAGCAGTGGCTGTGCCGGAGGCCTTATCGTCAGTGTCGTCTGTTCCACTATTTATTAACGTCAAACTGTCCAGTTGTATCAATTCCCCGCCCTCGTCGTGAACTTCAACTCTAGGTACGGACTGATTGGGAGCAGTTTCTGTATGAGACGAGCCTTCTTCTGACAACGAATCCGACTCTAACTCTGGATCTGGCTCCTTTTTCTCTTCCTTGATGGGTTCTTCTCTCCAATCTTTCTTACAGAGTGGAGAATCTCCTTTAGTGAGCAAGTCGACGGGTGCGTCACCACATAAATTTTTAATAATATCAGGCATCGGTTGAGCCTTTTTATCCTGCGTCGAGAACTGAAAAGTGACTATCAGCTTCTGCGGTTGTATCGTTGGCGTTGGTGCCGGATGTAACATCTTCTGGAACTCAGTGATATTGGAGCGGAAAGCTTCTAGTTTGGTGTCTAGCTGGGAAGTAGATTCTGACTTGCGGACAGCGGGTGGGGACGGTTCACCAAGTAAATACCGACGTTTCAGTTCGAGGGCTCGTTTGGTGGCGATCCCTCCAGCCGATCGGGTCCTGCTGAGGGGGTAATCGTGTGGGGGCGGCGGTGCGGGTGGAGGTGCCTCTGTGACCAGTATAGCGGGTGGCGAAGGTGCAGGGGCACATTCCTCGCGGGCGAATTCGCTATCTGTGGACACCTCAGTCGCAGAAGACACTTCCTCTTCGCTCGATTCGCTTTCATCCTCCGACTCCACCTGTTTAAAATCTCGATATACTAATTTTCTTAAAAAAATTGACAAGCGATACTAAACCGAAAGGCCTTGAATTATATGTGAAAATGCTTTGGACTGAGCGCTAAGAGTGCAAGAAACTTGAGGCCATTTAGGTGCGCCAGTCATATTCCACACTAACTTACCGTCTGTACGCTAGATGGCAAACTGTTTACCAATTATACATTTTACAGATGTAATATATACATATATAGTGTCAATAAAATCCACAAAACAACACCGTTATTTACATAATAATACATATATACAAAATAGGTGCACATATAGTATAAAACATATAATAAATTCCTGTTAGAAGCGGTAGCGTTTAAGGACAATAACACAAAGATGATAATTATATTATATATAGACAATGTAAGCGCCATCAAGTTAAAATAAATTTACTGTTTTTTTTTTTATTTGATTTGTATATTTTGATTAAACTTCAAAACTGTGTACTGAAAAATATTCACAAATTTAATTTATAATTCAAATATAGCCAATGTTACAATTTAAGAACTCTTTATATTATTTTATTTCACTGTTAAGTGAAAAGTTAGGAAAACAGTAAATTTATATAGACGGATAGTTAGTGTGGGCAAACTACACTCTTACCACGCCTGTCGCCGCCGCCCCTGTTAAACTAGCGAGATACTCATGACGCATGCGCGATGTATTGCGATCACAACTTATTATCGTCACATACCTACAGCAGGGGAGAAAGGGATTATTAGTCATGGGGTCTAACAGACCCATTGCCAGCAATACACCCTATCAGGTCGGTCTCCGCGTGGTTCCCTCTGGAAACCATCGTGACTAATTTATCATGGAATTCGTCACGATGGGCTAACTGACCTGCCTTTTCATTCTTACCAATAATCCCTCATTGATGACCCGCCAGTGTATACCATTAGCGCAGGCGGGGTTACCATTCCATTATCACCCATTAAAAAAATACCTATAGCAATCACTACAAGAATAACTGTCATTTTATAATAAAAACTATAAATTTAAAACAATAATTTGAAAATTATGCATTGTTCCCACAATTTTTATTTGTATTATAAAAATTTAATATTTATGTTTAAACTTGGAATGATTCATACATGACTTACTGTAAGAAAAAAATCTTGGTCACGGCACCAAATAAGACAGATTGTCATTAAGAATAAATATTGTCAGGCATATTATTTATTTCAGTGTTATTTTGTCATCCTCTCAAGTTTTAAATTAATTCACGCTCATATTTTTTTCAGTCAAGATTTTATAATACTTTTAAATTTTGGCTATATATTTCTAAAATAAAATAGTGGCAAAACGATTATTTTAAGAACTTATAATTTTGTATATATGTATATTTTCAAAATGATCGATTTGGCAATTCACTAAAAAACTCAGGTATCATAAATTGACACAAGAGAAGGAAGAGATATCATGCCTTTATGGATGGTAAAAGATCTAGTAACGTGATAAAGATCAAGTGATAAAGATCTAGAAACGTAAAGTTTCATTAAATTTTTACAAGTTTACTAATACCGATTAGATATATAACCAAGTCTTAATAAAAACATTTTAAGTTTAGAAGCGACGCAAATAATTGTTAAAAGTACATACATACATATGTGTCACGCTTGTCTCCCATTAGGGTAGGCAGGAACAGCGTTAAAACGTATTTATTTAATTTATTTATTATTTTAATATTTTTTAATACCCTTAATTGTAAAAACGTAGTTTTCTATCCTTTTTTTTTTTGGATTAATTTCTCATTTTAAACCAGTCTTAAAACACCGATAGTTTAAAACGTATTTAAAATCCGTTTTCGACATTATAACTGTTAATTTTGTAAATGAATGGTGTAAAATATGAATGACTGGAATGGGATTGCGTGGGGCGACGACTTTGGCGGTCCGCGGCGCACCTCCCTACAGCGTCGCGCGACGGACGGCCGGCAGCCGCGCGACAGTCGCGCGGCTACGCGACGACGCAGCCCGATACCTCGCTGCTGTCGGTTGGCGGTCGCGCGTCGGCTGGGACCTCGCGGCGCCGAGCTTCACGAGCCTCCCGCATACGGGAACACGACTCGTTGCCGGACGATTCCGCGCCTGTGGAAGGGTCCTTTATTACTACCACTCGTATGATAGATAGATAATTTATTTGCATTACTTACAGCACACAAATTACAATATAAACATATACATATGTATATACACAGCAAAAGAGGTAAAAGAATGAAAAACAAAAAAAAAACAACAATAAAAGCAAAATATATAAAACAATTTCCTTTTTTCATGCGTGTGCTATAGTAACACAAAATGGTCACAACTCAGTTTATTGCTATACTTTATGAGTAATTTCAGTCGTTATCAAAGTCTTTAAAACACTTCTTACTTCTTCATACTACAAGGCCCCTGACGTAGTTTACTGGACAACAGCTTTACATACATTCAAAAACAAGAAACAAGCTATATTTTTTTTTAAATGATCTAAACATGAATACGAATAATTTTAATGCTATCCGGATAGGGTTTTGTTATCAAGACCATCGAACCGCAGCCAATCTTTGTGCAATGAAGGTATAATCGGTCAAAATACTCCCTCTTCTATATTTTAATGAAAAACAATAATGCATATGCATTTAAGACCCGTGGGTTTTATACGCTTCTAACGTATAAAAAAAATACAACTTGTATATTGGTAATACAGCCATAACTGAGCTAAAATTCTGTAATTTTACACCGCGATTTTACAAATGACATTAATATTTATCTATCTGATTACTTTTTTAACCGTTACTTCGTTCACGTGGATTTCAGAAGTAGGAAAAGACGACTTATAAATGACGTATCAAAATAAAATTTATACTAGATTTTATGTTACAAATTTAGAAATACAACTGTGAAAATCGCATCCAATTTAGTGCAGTAGCTTTTGCGTGATGCCGGAACAATACATACAGACAAACAGACAAAATTTCTAATAATATTATTTCGCCTTATATTGCTCTTAAATTTTTCTTAAATATCTCTCATGTACAAACATCGTCTAGTTACAATTTTCTCTTTCGATCTTTCTCAATTTTCGATTTCTTTCAGGCAACTTTTGGATGGAGAGTAGTAATTATTTAGAGTATAACCTACCCATGTGGATGATTTTTTTTTCATACAACTTAGAATGGCAAACAAGCTGACGGCCCACCTGATGGAAAGTGGTAACCGTCGCCTATAGACATGAGCAGTACCATGGATATAACAGTGTACTGTTTCGCCCATGATACTCATGTGTTATTCCTCTGTACCCAGCAAATTCAAATATCTCACCCTTTAAACCGAAACACAGCCATGCAAACACAACTGCTTTACGGTTGAAACACGAATGGAACAGAGGTACCCAAGCAATCGACTTTTGTACAAAGTCTCCCTCTGGTAAATATTAGTAACATTACGCAACAGTTTTTCGAGAATACGATAGAAACACGTAACGCACTGGTGACGCCGTGGTGGTTTACTCGCTATATTAATATAAATGAATGCTCACCATCGTCGGAATAGTCGTCGTAGCCGAACGAGTCGTCGGAGAAGTACATGTGCTGGTGGGGCCGATGGTCAGCGAGAGCGGCCGGCTCAGGCGACAGTCGCGCCTCGTTGTCGCTGTCCGCCGCGTCCGTGTACTCGTCCGAGCTCGACTCCTCCTCGTCACTGTGAATCGGCCCTTATGCTGTACGACTGTCTTAGGATTGTATGATGTACTTAGGATGATCAGCCATTACTCTTTTGGAGGGCTTTGCTAGTACCTGCCACGTTTGGCATGCTGGTTGGCAATCCTGTTTAGGCTTTAGGTGATGTTTTAAGAGCTGCTGCTCATCCCTCGAACATTAACTTCCCTTAGTCGCCTCTTGCGATAAACACAAAAAAAGAGATGGCCCATTCTATACCGGATCCACTTAGATACATTTCAACAACTTATTTGAAATTAATATATGATATGTATAATCAACAAAGATATACACTGATAGCACGTCGCAATATTCAGTCAGTACCTGATTCCGCCAGCGCAAGAAGTCTCCGAAGCCAGGAAGTTCCTGTCCGTCCATTCATCCTCGTCGATCTCTCGGGCTCCGCTGTCGGACAGTTCGAGACTGATGCGCTCCGGTGTCGGGGTGGGGATCTCGCTGCGGGCCTGAGACGGCGCTGTTAGGGCTGTCGCCGCGGCCACTGCGTCTGGCACACTGACACCAGAGTGTCGCAAGCATACTAGACGGCTGCCGTATCGCTCCATAGTGTAATTCCTGCAGTTGAAATAAGCTAGCTATATTTTATTTACACATACGTAGACAGACAGGTACGCACACACGCACGCACGCACGCACTCATGCATGCACGCATGCACGTACGTACGCACGCACGCACGCACGTACAACGTTATATAGTTTCCGTTGTAAGAATAATGTCTGCCTTAACGACAAAAAAATTTCATTTCATTTCATTCAATTGGACAAGAGGCAACTCTTAAGTTTCCTCATGTCGGTGCAACTAATTCATGCATTTTCTTCCAGCCAACTCTATTCCAGGCTATATTTTTGACCTTCCTATACGACATGACACCTAGTGTTTCCTTTATCTGTCCTGTGTAGTTATTGCTCGACCTTTCCCTTCCTCTTTTGCTATTATTCTAGAATGCTCTTTAAAAAAATCGTATTTACTAAAATATTTATACCTTTTGTTTAGATGACCATACAATACGTGTTCCATGTTATGACATGTTCATAATGGCCACCGCTACAAGATGGCGGATTTTATATATCAAATTAACACTAAACTAAAATACTTGTATATGCTAATATAATATTGTTCATATTATATTACATTTATATATTTTCGAGGTGACATATCTCACCCTGGCCGCAGCACAGTCTTGCACACGGCGCACCGGAAGCAGGCCCTGTGCAGATGGAGACCGTCGGCGGTGACGCCCTCTGCCGCGAACACGCGTGTACCGCACGCAGCGCACTGCATACCCGCGAATGCGGGACCGCGCCAGCTCTTCTTGCACTAAACAGAGAAAGAAAGAAAAAAAAGATATATTTTTTATTCAACTAAACTTATATTTAAGAATTTTTGAATAGACATTTTTTTATTACCGCCCATTCGGAGCACCATTTTATACCAGAGGGAGATTGTACAAAAATCGTTGAGGAATGGCAAACAAGATGATGGCCCACCTGATGGAAAATGGTAACCGTTAAATATAGCATGTACAGTAGCATGGATATAACAGAGTAAACTGTTTCGCCCATGATACCCCCCATGCGTTGCCATTCCTGAGGACTTAGGTGTTATTCCTCAGTACCCAGTAAATTCACGCCATATCCCACCCTTCAAACCGAAACACAGCCACGCAAACACAACTGCTTCACGGTAGAAACACGAATAGGACAGAGGTGTCCAAGCAAACAAAACACAACTTTTGTACAAAGTCTCCCTCTGATAAAATATTTGTATCGCTGTTCAAGCTATATTATTAGCTTTTATTGACGTGACACGATATCATATGATTTTATGTGACAGTAAATACATGCATACATATCATTACATTTAGAAGCCGTTGACGTTCACGACAGTTATTAGTTCGACTATATCCAGTCAGGTCGACCTTTACGTGGTCCCCCTAGACCCCTCTAGCCTTTTGCTTAATTCCAGGTGGTCTAACTGATCTGCCTTTTTCATTCTCACTGGTACCACGCCAGCGTACACCGTTAGCGTAGGTGGGGTTACCATTTCATTATCATCCATTAAAAAAATTTGGGTACGTTTGTATCTAAATTGAGTACATACCTCTTCTTTGGGTTGAACTTTGGCCTCCGGTTCATCCTTTTTGACAAACTTGGTCGCCAGGTTGGCTACCTGCGGAACATACATAGGGTACTTAGCAAGCGCTCTTGTTAAAGTGAATTAATTTTCTATCGCTGTGAAATAAAAGTGGGTGTGCGTGTGTAAGCAAAGCTTAGGTCATTTACATGGCATAGCTTGTTTTGGAAAAATAAATTAATAATCATATAATTTAGGTATTATCTATACTTATAATAAATTTGTAGAGAGGTCAATTTTGTACATGAAATATATTTCTAAAATAACTATCAGCGGATGATTAGTGATCGATACTGATGCCAAAAATGCAATCAGTAAATTTTTTATCTGTCTGTCTATATGTTCGTTATAGAAACAAAAACTACTCGACGGATTTTAACGAAACTTGGTACAATTAATCAATAATATATCAATAATTAAAATAGTTTTGAGACATTTGACGTTTTTATAAATAAAGGGTGTTAGATTTTAACTTGACATAACAATATAAACTACAACGCGGTGGAATCATAAATAGTACATTACTGCAGCGGCCAGCAACTGAGGCATTGATGGACGAACGTGCAAATGTGGGCCGAGGCGTAGCCGAGGTACATATACGTGAGTCTATTAATGCCTAGTTGTGACCAAGTCTTGTATAGTATTTTTCTCAAACAATGCGTGGAAATAAAAAACACAATTTTACTTTTTAAGTTCAATGACGAATAACGAACAATGATAATTTTTAACGCGCTATAATGTTCCTTTGTTTTTTTTTTTTTCAATAAACAGCTTTCTATTTGTAAGCCAGTTCGAAATTTAAATAAAACCTTTTATTAATTACCTCCTTGGTAGCCATGTTTCGAAGTAAAAGGTCATTCCATTTTTAAATTACAGGACAGATATGAGTTTACATAGTAATTTGTCTGGCCGCAAAACACGACAGTTATGGATTTTCATACAACTTTTGCCGGCCGCTGCCCGCATGTATCTGGCCAGTACGGCAATTTTGATTTATCTCGAAGAAGATTGTCAAAATAGTGCTCACATTTCCAAGCATGTTTGAGAAAAAACAATATTCCTAAATTAAATGTTTAAGAATTTAAATCTGTCTGAATATAAAAAGCTCCATTCTTTCCTACTGACCTTCCTGGTGCCGTGGTCGGGCCGACCGGAGTCACGTAACTTTTGACCGAGCTTGTTAAGCGTTTCGTCTATCTCGCCCCATTTCTCCTCATTCTCGCCCTCTTTAAGTCGCCTCTGACGGCCTAGGAACTGTGAAGTATGACAAAATATTAGATAGATATATAATTTATTTGCATCACTTACAGCACACAAATAACATTGAATGAATGAATGAATGAATGAATAAATGAATGAATGAATGAATGAATATTTATTTGCAAGAAATATGGTAAATATACATTAGCTACTGGTACATATTAAAAAAAAAAACAAAAAAAAAGTACATAAAAGAGGTTACACAATTTCAATGTCATAACTCAGTTTATTGCTTTGCCCTCAAAAGAGCAAAACACTGATATTCTGTTGTGGTCAAAAGCCCAAAGTCGGGGGGCAAGGGATTGTTAGTAATAGGGTCAAATAACCCCATTACTAGCAAATACCCTGTCAGGTCGACCTCCACGTGGCTCCCCCTGGAAACTGTCGTGACTAATTTATCGTTGAATTCGTCACGATGGGCTAACTGACCTGCTTTCATCCTCAGTCATCTATTACTGGTGCCCCGCCAGTGTATACCGATAGTGTAGACAGGGTTACCATATCATTAAAACACATTAAAAAAAAGCCTTAAGTCTGTTTTATTAATATAAATACTATTCACATACATCATATCAGTCTTTGATTATCCACTGCTGAACATAAGCTTACCCCTTGGGAGATTTTGCCAGTAGTTGCCACGCTTGGCAGGCGGATTGGCAATTGCAGTTAGACTTTGAAGATGTTTCAAGAGGGACGCTACTGCCCATCCCTCGTCCTCCCTTAGTCGCCTTTGACGACACCCACGGGAAAGGAAGGGGTGGTCCATTCTATGCCGGGACCACACGATCAGTTACATTATTTTGTATCAATATATTTATCACACACCTGTTCCCGATCCCACTTGGGCACCTTCTCAGCGGTCTTGGGCTCGGGCCGACCCAGTCGGTTCTCCATGATCTTCCTCTCTATCTCCTTCACGTTCCAGTCGTCCCTCTCGATCTTCCCCACTGACCGCATCAGGTCTTTCGGCTTGGACGAGCGCGGAGTCGCCGCTGGGGCGCTAGACCCTGACAGTTCCGCTGCAAGCTTCGCTACTCGAGCACCACTGCCACCGGTCCTTCCACCGCCCCCCACAATCCTGCCCTCCTCCTAAACACCAAAAAGAAAATGTCAGTTCCAGATAACAACTCATTACATCAAGTGGAGTACAAGCGCGTGACATGTCAACCCGAGAAGCGTTTGTACAATATTTACACCCCCGCAGCTCGGTGCCAACCAGGATAATGTACAGCTTTGCTCAAATCACACGTGTTATGTCACACATTTTCTTAAATAAAACTTTGACGTTTAATCCTTTTTGTTTATTGAGAAAAAAAAAATGTAAATGTTAGTCAAACAGAATGGTGAAGAAACAAATTGAAATAACGTGACAGTTAATGTCGAACAAGAGTACAGTTTTAATTCATGCACACACAAAATCTCATTAAACCGACGACAGTCCACAGTGACGACGTATCTGTTAAGATTAAACCGTGCATTGCGACCACACATCGATAGCGCAGTATCGGCCCGGGGTCATCGACCGCAGGGTGGTCCGGTGAGAGCAAACGTTAGTGCATGCAACACACGACGTCAACCACGTCTCACGTAGTGTTGCAACTGCTTCTCGAGCTTGCGGACGCGCTCGCCGAAATGTGGTGCGCTCGCCCGGTACTGTTGCAGCCCGTAGTCGTTCTCGAGGTCGGCCGACGGCACGAAATCGGGCCGTGGCTCGCTCACCAGCATCTGAAGACTCTTCTCAAAACGCTGCCGCATAATCTCCCGAGCTGCCTTCCTCCTACCACCTCCTTTGGGTCGCTTTGCTTCGGCGTTCTTTTTCTGCATCATCTCGGACATTCTCTGCATCCTGAACGCCATATCTCCGGAATTCTTGCGCTGCTGTGGCTCCGGCTTCCGAGGCTTATGACCTTGGATCAAGTCGACCACTCGTTGCCTGCGCAGCGCCATCTCAGGGTTGCCGATAGATTCGGATCGTTTAGTGCGGTCCGGACTCGGGGTGCTGCGTCGTTTGCCCTCGATTATTTCGGCCATCCGCTGCATTCTCAACGCCATTTCAGGGTTACCAAGCGACCCAGATCGGACTGTGCGAGACTCGGGGCTAGGCGTATGCCTCCTCTTGTGGCCCTCGAATATTTGCGCTATACGTCTTGTATTGTGGGGATTCACCGTATCAGAAGATTCGACTGAGTTTGACCGTCCGTGCAACAGTAGTTCAGGGCTATGCGAGTGTCTTCGCTTGTGACTGTCGATCACGTCGGATAACCGTCTTCCTTTCAGCGGAAGTGGACTATCAGTAGAGGAGGATCGCACAAACTCTTTCTTTTTAGGGCTGGCACTAGATGACTTAATAAACTCTTTCTTTTTAGGCGTCCTGACATCGACCATTGTAGCATCCGTGTCGACCGAGTCGTCTTGAAAGATATCAGAGAAGTCTGGAAGTCTGATCGATGACGCATCCAAACCCTTGAGTTTCCGTGGAGGTTTTACAGGTTTCTCTACCTTATTTTCTGAGAAATAATGAGACAGTCTAGAGTCGTTTTCTTTTTGTTTAACCCTCGTCTTGGTGGTTCCCTGCAAGAGTTGAGCTAGAGAGTCCCTCAGCATTTTGGGGTCAGGTGACTCTTCGGGGTCCAAAAGGGCCAGTATCTGTTCCTGCAGGTCCTTCTGTTTGTCTGCATGGCTGCCGCCGTCGACCGCGTCGTGTCCCTCTATGAGTCGCGCTAGCTGCGTAATGTCATTAAGGTCTAGTTTCCCAATCTCTTTGCGTATGTACTCAGCTGGGTCGTTACTTACTTGGGGCGTGCGGACGGAGCGCCGTTTCTTTCTGTAGCTCGAGTGCGACTTGTCGGTTTCGGCCGCGTCTGTTTACAAATAATTACATTTATAATTATAAAAATGAGTTTGTCCATTAACTTGTTTGTTACGTGCGACCTAGAGACTTAATGACTAGTTAATTGACATGAAATTTAGTACAAAGATAGTTATGCTTGTAGGACGATAAGGGTTACTTTTTTTCGGCCATACTGGTGAAGTCATTGCCATAGTTGTTAAATAATATACACCATTGGACATACCACACCGAGCCACCTAATGCCAAACTAAACAGAACTTATATTCAAAAATCATCATCATATCTTTATAATGATTACTTAAACACTCTATCCCATTCATGTTTCAACCGTGAAGCAGTTGTGTTTGCATGGCTGTGTTTCGGTTTGAAGGGTGGGATATGACAGTGAATTTACAGGGTACAGAGGAATAACACCTGAGTCCTCAGGAATGGCAACGCATGGGGGGTTAACTCTGTTATGTCCACGGTACTGCTCATGTCTATAGGCGACGGTTACCACTTTTCATCAGGTGGACCGTCAGCTTGTTTGCCATTTTAAGTTGTATAAAAAAAAGCTCTTATCAAGAAAAATTTATTATACATTAGAGAAAGTAATACAAATTGAATCTTATTTTTAAATACACAAACGGGGTTTATATTTGGAGCATAAAAACATGATATGGGTGTGAAACATGGACAATGACGCAAAAGGAAAAAAAGATGCTTGAGGCATTCGAAATGTCTAACATGGAGGAGAATGGAAAGGATAAGCTGGACAGAAAAACTAACGAATGAGGAAGTCCTGAAAAGAGTGAACGAGAAAAGAACATTAATTAAAACAATAGAGAATAGAAGAGGCAAAATACTGGGCCTTCTTATTGGATATGACGATTTTTTAAGAGCATAGTAGAGGGAAAAATAGAAGGCAAAAGAAGAAATCGGGGCTTAACTAAACGTCGGCAATAAAGAAGCAGGTATGTCGGTACTATTTACCTGTAAAAGCTTTTTAATCGCGTTAGGTCCCGATTGTGCATTTAAAAATATGTGTAAACCACACGAAAGTTTAAAATTACCTAAAATGAATCTTATTCTTATAGACGTAAAGTAAGTTTTTAACCCTCCAGTGCCCAATTTAGGCGAAACGAACTAAACGTGAAAGGGATACTTACATACATATTTTCATATATCAACTTTCACACATACACACTGATGCCTCCTTGACATAATGACATGACGTCACGTCATTATCCAGTGGACTGTTTGACTTACTTGAATAAACAGAAACGGAGAGGTCCGTAGTATTCCTTGTATGTTTCTCTTTCTGTTGATTTTGTTTGATCTGTAAAATAATAATATCACTATCATACCTACTTGTACAACAATTAGTCCGTTACCTTAAGGTTGTCTTATAAAGATCGCTCTCAGCAATAAGACCGCCTCACTGTACTTGTACAATTGTATCGTTGTGTTTGTAAATTGTCTTGCTTATTTCCTATATTGTATAATGCAAATGAAGTATACTCATTCATTCATTCAATAATAGATTTAACTACACTTTATGTTGTTAAAGAAAAATGCTATATGATATTTAGGATTCTGAACCATTAAAAAAATATATTTTTTTTTTATGTGTCCATTTCTCCTTCGGTTTACTACAGCCAGTCATATCAGTAAGTATATTCTATTTAAATAAAAATTAATGATAATGTAAATTAACTAACTAAACCGTCTTTCAAAAAAAAACCGTTCACGCTCACTTTTTTTACTTTATCCGAGCAGTAAGTGCTTTATATTATTCCCAAATTCGTGTATAATATAGTATATGTCATATATGTGTAAGTATATTTATTATTCATATATATTTATTCGTTTATATATGTAATTTTAGTATGTATGTATATCAATAATTAGTAGTAAGGCATTCGAGTATTCTGACACTTCCCTATGGTTGACTGGGAGAGAATGCTTTTAGCATTAAATCCGTCATGTACACATATTTGTACTGATGAATAAATAAATAAATAAATGATCGGGCCATAAGACAGTTTGCTCATTAATATGGATGAGGATCGCAGACACTCCCATTCACAATACGAACATAGTTTACACAGAGGCGCCGACTTCGTGGGTACTTGTGGGTTTAGCACGCTACACGCTAGAGGTAAATACTAGGTCGGGAGCATCCGTGACGTTAGACATTATAATATGACTAAGATATGAGGATTGTTCGCCGTGTGGTCCCGGCAGAGACCGGACCATACCTTCCTTTCCCGTGAATGTCTTAAGACGCGACTAAGGGAATTCATGGTAGAGAGATAGGCAGGAGCACCTCTTTTAAAACATCACCAAAGTCTAACTGCAGTTGCCAACCCACATGCTAAACGTGGCAATTACTGACAAATCCCCCTCTATGGAGGAAGCCTATATTATGCAGTGGACAATTAACAACTGATATGATTATCAATTTCGAGGAATGAAGCCGTGAGCGGTGGCTAGTTTATAAATACGTATGCTAATACCTGGTCGAAGACGTCCGTATGGTGGTGTACATGGGGCACCTCCCCCTTGAACGCGTTGTACACCCGCCATAGATACGAACGGATCTTGGCGTCGGGCACGTCGCGCACTGAACCACTCGAACACAATGGGGTTATGCCTGCAAGGAGAATCGCTTACGTCAAACTCAATTTTTTTAATGAATGATAATGTAATGGTAACCCCATCTGCGGTAGTAATATACGCTGGCAAGTATGAGTATCCCCCAATAAAGGAATGAGAGGGAGGGAGACTTTGTACAAAAGTCGATTGCTTGGGTACCTCTGTCCTATTCGGGGTATATATGAAATGACAGTTAACACTAAACCTACCGATTTAGTGTTAACTGATCAGTTATTTTATAGCATTTTATACATGATTCTTTAGAATAATATAACTTTTTTAAATTTATAAACTGATAGAAATAAAACAAACACTAAATGTTAAGTGAAGCAAACAGTTACGCATTAGTGAAGACCGCATTCAAATCGGTTAAGCCGTTCTGAGATTAGCGTGCACACAAACAGACAAAAATTTTAAAAATTATTGTTTTTGATTCTACTGCGTTCATAAAGCCCCCAATATATAATATAGGGAGGGTTTTTCTTATATATCTTACATGTATAATTAAGATTTTATTATATATATTAACTGATTGATATAATGGTAGTTTCCTTACCGAATTCGTGCTGAAGTACGTGGTAGACGGCCCGCGGCGCGGTGGTCGCCGGCAGTAGATCGGGCCGGTACCGACGCAGCAGGGCTGCCAACGCGGGTGGACTGGCCGCCGCCCGGAGACCACCCTCGGACCACCCCACCCACGACACCAGCACCTCTTCTGACACTTCCGATTCTAGACACAACAAAAGATTATTTATTTATGGACATGACATATAAAATGCTGCCTTAATTTAAGGCCACCACTGGCTACTTGCCCCCCCCCCCCTCCATATATATGCCTAGAAGTCTCAACAAAAGCAATAATAAAAAAAATAATTAAAAATTGTGTTCAATTGTAACAAAATTGGTCCAAAAATTAAATTACTAACTCGATTTTAATAAAATTTGTATGAGACCAATCTATAAGTATATCATTTTATATAAATAAAGATTTTTTTTAATCGATTTAGAACAGATGGATTAATGAGGTAAAAAACAAAAAATAAAAATTCTTCTTTTTAAAGTCGGTTAAAAATACAAATAGGTACTAACCTCTCCGTCGCTTCCTGACGGTGGACACAGCGTCTAGCGGCAGTGGGTCGTCCGAGTCATAGAACGAGGTGACCCGGTGGGGGGTCACGGCCGTTCTGTTCAGGTTCGGATACCTGGTGCCCGGGTCAAGTGTGTACGCGCCGAAATCACGGTGCAGGTTCTCGGGGGTCGTTTGAGCTGCAAACGTTAGAATTATGAAAAACAAGTGTACTATTGAGACCTTAAAAATAAAAAATAAGAAGAATTCGAGACAGAGGGAGACTTTGTAAAAAAAAAGTCGTTTGCTTGGGCATCTCTGTCCCATTCGTGTTTCTACCGTGAAGCAGTTGTGTTTGCATGGCTGTGTTTCGGTTTGAAGGGTGGGATATGGCAGTGACTTTACAGGGTACAGAGGAATAACATCTGAGTCCTCAGGAATGACAACGCATGGGGGGTATCATGGGCGAAACAGTATACTGTGTTATGTTCATGGTACGGCTCATGTCTATAGGTGACGGTTGACACTTTCCATCAGGTGAGCCGTCAGCTTGTTTGACATTCTAAGTTGCATAAAAAAAAGTTGATATATAAAACTTACGTTCGAGAAAAAGGACATAATTATGTAATAACCTAATATATATTTATATTTTATTGATTCAGCCGCTAACTGTCCACTGTTGGACATGAGCCTTCCCCATAAAAGGAGTTTCGTCAGTAGTTGCCATGCTTGGCAGACAGGTTGACAATACACAGTTAAGCTTTTAGAGATGTAGATTATAACACAGCTTAAGTACATTAGCCCCATTCCCTACGTTATATTGCTTTAACCGTACTCACCTAACAGTCTGTATATAGATTCTCTCTCAGCGATAACGTCGAGCGGATGCGGTGGGGGCCCCTGTCCCCACGACCTCACGGTCCACGCCGCGTCCAACGCCGATAGGAAGCCACGGGCACAGCCCGAGCCTGTCGGCCAGAACGGCTCCAGGAGACTGTCTCCTACCAACTGGCAGAGGAGACGGCGTCCGTGTCTTTCGTAAACCTACACACATAGGGATTTTTTTTTGATGGGTGAAAATGGTATGGTAACCCCGCCTGCGCTAACGAGATACGCTGGCGGAGCACCAGTGAAGGATGATAGATGAAAATGAAAACAGGCCAGTTAGCACATCGTGATGAATTCACCAGGAATTAATCATGATAGTTTCCAGGGGGAACCGCGAGGAGGTCGACCTGGTTGGGTATATTGCTAACAATGGGATTTTCAGTCTCCATTACTAACAATCCCTTTCCCCCCGAAAGGGATTATTAGGTATGGGTTTATACAACCTCATTGCTAACAACATGTCTTATCAGGTCGCCCTCCACGTGGTTCCCCCTGGAAACCATCGTGCTGAATTCTAGATGTATTCATCACGATGGACTAACTGACCTGTCTTTTCATCCTCACCTATCATCCCTTACTGGTGCCCCGCCAATGTATACCGTTAGCGCGGGCGGGGTTACCATTCCATTTTCACCCAATAAATTCGTCATAGTCGTAGAATACTGACGGATCTGACGAAAATTACATATAAAGATCTGTGAGTATTCTACGACTATGACGAATTGGGTTTTTCATTCAGATGCTGTTCTAGTCGGCTGGCTCACATCTAAGTAAAATGGTTTAATTAAATGTTTACTTTAATCGCTTTTCTTTTTTCACTAACATAGTTTGTAAGGAAATGGTTACTAACAAAATGGACCAAATTGTAGTGTGAATAATAAAGGATTATTATTATTAAAAAAAAGTCCCCCACTCCTTCTCCCTCCTGTAATTCAGGAAATGAAATTCTTTTAAATTCTCTTCAATATATGAAGACGACTCACAATGCTGGCGTTCTCCGCGGCGTACATGGAGGTGAAGTCGAACAGAGCCACATCCGGCTCGCCGTAATGGTTGAGCGCGAAGTCCCGCAGCGGTAGACGGCCGTCGGTGGAGAAGCGGGCTGCTTCCTGAGCGTACCGCATGAGCGCTGCGCGATCTACGTTCTCCACGCTCAGCAGACGGGACACCTCCGTGTAGTCCTGGTTAATTTTTTTTTATCTAATATACAATGGCAAGCAACTTAACAGGCGTTTTGGACCCGCAGTTAGGAGAGGGGGGAAAGGAGTGTTAGAAATATAGACTACCAGTCCCATTGCTAGCAATGTACCCTGTCAAGTCGACCCCCACGTGGTTCCCCCTGGAAACCATCCTGCTGAATTCCAGGTGCATTCATCACGATGGGCTGACTGACCTGCTTTCATTTTCACTTATCATCCTTCACTGGTCACCGCCGGTGTATACCAATAGCGCGGGCGGGAATACCATTCCATTATCGTCCACTAAAAAAACCGCAGTTAGGCTTTGGTGATGTTTTAAGAGGGACACTGCTGCCCATCCCTCGACCATTTAAATTCCCTTAGTCGCCTCTTGCGACACCCAAAAGAAAGGCCCATTCTATGCCGAGACCATACGACGAGTCAATACCTATATATACCATTAACATAAACAGGTGCACCATTCCAATTCCATCCATAATTTACCCTGTCAAAGCGACATCCACGTGGACTTTTTTTTAAATCCATACATATGAAACACTCAGACCAATAGACAATAATAGTACATTACTGCAGCGGTCAGCAACTGAGGCATTGATGGACGAACGTGTAAATGTGGGCGGAGGCGTAGCCGAGGCACACATACGTGAGTCCATCAATGCCTAGTTGTGGCCAAGGCTTGTATACTACTCTTTTCAAACAATGCGCGAAAATCAAAAACACAATTTTACTTTTTAAGTTCAATGACGAATAACGAACAATAATATTTCACGCGCCATAATGTTCCTTTTTTTTTCAATAAATAGCTTTCTATTTGCAAGTCAGTTCGAAATTTAAATAAAACCTTTTATAAGTTACCTCCTTGGTAGCCATGTTTCGAAGTAAAAGATCATTCCAGTTTTAAATTACAGGACAGATATTAGTTTACATAGTAATTTATCTGGCCGCAAAACACGATAGATATGGATTTTCATACAACTTTTGCCGGCCGCTGCCCGCATGTAACTGGCCAGTACGGCAATTTTGATTTATCTCGAAGAAGATTGTCAAAATAATGCTCACATTTCCAAGCATGTTTGAGAAAACAAATATACCTAATGGAGAATCTGTGTTTATTGCAGGGAACATGCAACTATGGGAAGATCGTGCGATAGTTTCAAGTCAATTATAATAAACTAAATGTTCCTAACATTGAGTAAGACGCCTTTGTCCAACAGACTGTGCTTCTTGGCGGTCATGACGAAGTAGTGCGTGTCGTCCTTGTAGTAGACAATGTTCTCTAGGTCGATGCCGGTCATCTCGTACAGTTCCTTGAAGAACTTCTGATTGAATATGAACGCTACGCCGCTGATCTCCGGCACCTGGAAACATTACACGTCATGTCTGAACAATCAGTTCTACACACATTCACACAATAGTATGATTATCATAATATCACCATTTTGGGGGGGAAAGGGCTTGTTAGTAAAGGGGTCTAACTGCCCCATTGCTAGCAATATACCCTGTAAGGTCGACCTCTACGTGGTTCCCCCTGGAAACCATCGTGGTTAATTCTAGTGCAATCACGATGGGCTAACTGACCTGCGCTTCATCCTCACCTATCATTCCTCACTGGTGCCCCGCCAGCGTATACTGTTAGCGTAGGCGGGTTTACCATTCCATTATCATCCTATAAAAAAATCAGCCTTTAACTGTTCAGCTGAACATTAGCCTCCCCCTTGGGGTTTGCCAGTAGTTGCAATGCTTAGCAGGCGGATTAGCAACCGGAGTTCAGCTGTGGAGATATTTTATGAGGGACACTAGTGCCCTTCCCTCGCCCTCCTTTAGTCGCCTCTTACGACACCCACGGAAAAGAAAGGAGGTTGCCTATTCTACGCCGGGACCATACGGCTTTGAAAATATACAACATGACGGCTTTAATAACACCTTATATACGAAAGAGTATACTCAGTTATGTCCATGGTTCTGTTATGTCTATCACTTTCCATCAGGTGGGCTTCAGCTTGTTTGCTATTTTTTTTTCATACAACTTAGAATGGCAAACAAGCTGACGGCCCACCTGATGGAAAGTGGTAACCGTCGCCTATAGACATCAGCAGTACCATGGACACAACAGAGTATACTGTTTCGCCCATGATACCCCCCAAGTGTTGCCATTCCTGAGGACTCAGGTGTTATTCCTCTGTACCCAATAAATTCACTGACATATCCTGCCCTTTAAACCGAAACACAGCCATGCAAACTTGGGACAGAGGCGCCCAATCAAACAACTGTTATGTCCACGGTACTGCTCATGCCTATAGGCGACGGTTACCTTTCCAACAGGTGGGCCGTCAGCTTGTTTGCCATTTTTTGTTTGTTCAAAGTATGTTTTTTTTTATGCATGTAAGCTGCATCAAAACAGCAAGAAAGATATTCAAATACATACGGATCTAAATAAAAAATATAAATATCACAGCATTCAAATAACACGTAAATATGCAAACGCCGTCACAGACTGTCGCGTCCGAATCATCAGATGTAAGCACGTGCCGGCGCCACGTACCGAGGCCTCCTGCTCGGTGTGCCGGTTGATGAAGTTGGCGGTGATGGCCATGGCGAGCTTGCCGCGGAACTCCTTGCGCTTGAAGCCCTGCAAGGTGTTCCGCTTGCCGTCGGCGCCGAGCAGCGCGTCGAATTCGTACTGCGACACTGGGTGATCGAGGGGCGACACGCGCGCCCGCCATCCCAGCGCTGGTAATAGCATTTATTTACTTCTCTCGTACATTGAGCAATTTAAAAAGTTTTTAAATACATACATACATTCCATCAGGTGGGCTATCAGCTTGTTTGCCATTCTAAGTTGTATAAAAAAATACATACATATTACGCAGCGCCATCTAGTCATTTATTCAAAAAACAATGTACATTGTGTCTGACGTCACACTAAACTTACCAAGCGCAGTCAAATGACCGTTTTTGTAATTTTGTTTAAAAATGTTCACGTATAACGTTACTGTATCACCATGTAACTTATTGACTTTTCCTGTAATATACATACATACAACTCATTCTTCAATATTTACAACTTACTATTATTTACTTGTTTACTATCCAATTGGCTAAAATCTCTTTCTATATTAAGGTACATACTTTATTTTAAAGCGGTCATTTGTCCGCTCATGGTAGGGCTTTTATTAATGGGTGGTAATGGACTGGTAACCCCGCTTGCGCTATCAGTATACACTGATGGGGCACCAGTGAGAGGTGATAAGTGAGGATGAAGCAGGTCAGTTAGCCCATCGTGACGAATCTACCAATAAATCAATCACGATGGTTTCCAGGAAGAACCACGAGCAAGTCGACCTGACAGGGTATATTGCTAGCAATGGGGCTACTAACCCCATTACTAACAATCCCTTCTCCCCCCCTATTATATATTACTATCCAAGCTAGAAGAGGAGAACTACCACCTATCACCACTTATCAAAGAACAAAATTTCCACGCCTTACCCGCGTGGTCGTCGCCCCTGGAATTGAAGCTGGGGCAAAGAGATCGTCTGATATTCATAATCACAGATTATACTAATTTGAGAACCAAGCACTTATATTAAATTGTTGATGATATTTATCAATCTTCCTGATAATCGACCACTTGACGTCCTCCTCACTAGCCGCCTTAACAAAGCTGGGAGTGTGACCATAAACAAATATTGCTTACTTTCGGAATTCTCTGTTTCTGTAGGCTCCAACAGTTCCTCGAAGCTCACTCCCTCGTGAAACTCGACGCCCAACAGTAGCGCCACCTGCAACATACGTCGTGTCTGTACAACAATGTGTTCACGCAACCACATCCAGAAAGGTCAAGCAATAGACACTGAGTATTATGAGTTATTTGTAGTTACTTTCTATATGTGATTTGTATATATGTATATGCTTTATATAACTTGTAAATTATCATCATTTCAGCCATTATCCGTCCACTACTGGACATAAACCTCCCCCATAGACTGCCATAAAGAACGGTCCTGAACCACCTGCATCCACTAACTCCCTGCAATACATTTTAGGTCGTCTCTTTATCTAGTGGGGGGTCATCCTACTGCGTTTGCCTGTAAGGGGTCGCCACTCAAGAACGTTATCATAAATAGAAAAAATATCATATCAACTTTTAACTGAACACAGGCCTTCCCCATAAAGGAGGTTTAGTGCCAGTAGTTGCTAAGTTTGGCTATAGAGAAGTTTCAACAGATAAGGTAAGGCCGATAAGGCCGTCCATTGTTTTCTCATTGTGATTATTTCTTGTAATTGTTTGTATCTATAATAAGTTTACTATTGTAATCTTTTGGAGGAAACAATAAAGAGTATCTATCTATCTATCTACCTTGAGCAGTATACACTGCAATTGTCTAATACTGATGTGATCTATGGAGCCGGCGCAGAACTTTCCGAAGAACTTCTTGGCGCCGAGCGCGCGCAAGTCCTGGATCACAAACGGCCACAAGTGCAGCACGTTGTTGCGGGACATTCGGTCGCGTTTCTCGATCACCACCTGAAGTGTAGATAAGAACTATTATAGTAAACTGTGATCTGTTTTAGTACAACTGAAAAAGTAACTTTTATTTTATACCACTGAGGTGGCAAACAAGCATACGGCCCACCTGATGGTAAGTGGTTACCGTAGTAACACAGGTTGTATTGGAATTTATACACGTATATATATAGAAACATTACAGTATATTTCAATAGAATTGAATGAAAATGTAAACAAAGGAATAATTGACCCGATCATAAGACATTGCTCATATCAAATAGGAGTGCAAATAAAAGATTTAATGTTTCGATTTGTTACTGATTTTATTTAGAGAGCGATTCTTTGATAATTTCAACAAAACTTGGTTATACTTTATCATTTAGTTCTATTGAAATAGAATTGTATTTGAAATATACACCAACCGCCATTTTATGGCGGCGGCCATTTTGACAACATTACAATATTGAGTATTAAGTGAATGAATACTACTCTTACCCCCAGCGGCAAAACGTTGGAACAAGTGGAACTAGTCACTTTATTTGCATTTTACAATATAGGGAAAAAGCAAGACAATTTATAAATACAACGATACTGTATAAGTATAGTAAAGCGGTCGTACAATTCATGTCTATAGCCGACTATTGTCACATTTCACCAGGTGGACCGTCAGCTTGTTTGCCATTCTAATTTGCATAAAAAACATGCAAGTTTCGACCTTAACAAACAAGTTAGCACACACTGCAAGTCAGATAAAAGCTTGTAAAAACTTGCCACTTTGGCGCCGAGCAGCTGGCACTCGATGGCGGCTCGCAGGCCGCAGGGTCCCGCGCCGATTATGAGCACCCTATTGGCGGCGCATGCGCGCCCCTTGCCGTACACCTTGTGGTTGGCGCGCGCGTCGAACTTCTTGAACAGGGCCTGCGCCTTCCACGAGCTGGCCAGCTTCGCCTGTAAATGGATATGACAGCTTTTATTATCAACTAGCATTTATGCGCAAATTCATACTGTCAGGAGGTCGTCCTCATTTGGTTAAAAAAAAACAGTTTTTCTAGTTTAATATCTCAAATTGATAAATCAATTAAAATTTGGTATACTAGGTTTTAGTCTCACGCCGTAATTGAGACTGTGACGGACAGAGATTTTGCACAATCTTGGAAATTATCCTTTATAAAATGATTTATATTAACGATGCAGCAATGAGTTTGATGTAACAGTACGCATAGATTTTACCACTTCTAGATGGCGTATTAAGAAAAAATATTCCCCGGTCCTTTAACCTTTAGGACAGTGGTAGACAGGACGGTGGCAACCGCATTCAATTTAGTGCAGTAAATTCTGCGTGATATCGAAACAAGCATATATGTACATATAGACAGCAGATCTAAAATATATTCCTTGGGCTTCTATTGCTCTTATTATAATCCTAGTAGCAATATTCTACAATATTATTATGAAAGATCTTAACAAAGTATATAGTACACCCTGTCGGGCACAGCAATAAGTAGCGACGTATTTTTTTTTAATTTTCATAAAGATTTCAATAATTAAATAATTTAATTTAATTAAATTCTATTTAAATTCCAAATTAAATTAATTATTATAACGACTTATTTATTTCTATATGTTTTATTTTAATACAATTTAATGTAGTTGTTTATATTTTTATATCTACAGTCATTGTCGAGTTACAATTTTATCATATTATATTTTCAGAAGATTGTTATCAACTGTCCGATCCTGTCCATTTATTACTCTTACATTTTTTTAATAGTTGAAAATGGAATGGCGTCCACGCCTGCGCTATCACTATACGTTGGCAGAGTACCAGTGACACGTGATAAGTGAGAATGAAAGCAAATCAGTTGACAGACCATAGCGAAGTAATCACTATAGGTTTTTGGGAGTATAGCGTGGAAGTCAATCTGTTAGGGGTGTATTGTAAGCAGTGGAGCTAGACACCAGCTAGCAGAGCAGGGGGGAAAAGGATTATTAGTTACACAGCCCTTAACCGTCCACTGCTAAACAGAAGCCTCCCTGTTGGGGGTTTGCCAGTAGTTACCACGCTTGGCAGGCAAATTGGCAACAACAGTCAGGCTTTAGATATGTTTTAAGAGGGACGATGCTACCCATCCCTGGCTATCCCTTAATCGCCTCTTACAACACCTATGGGAAAGAAAGTGGAGGCCTATTCTATGCTTGGACTATTGCTGTTGGCCCTGCCAACATTTTATTTTATTCTAAATAAAATGTTAAACAATTTTAACATAAGAAAGTGTAAAACCACCTTAAACCGGTGCGTTCCTTTTCATCTGAAACGTGCGTCGCGGCGGCACGTTCAATAACTTGTAATAGAGTCAATCGTATATAAATATGAACAAGTACGTAGTATTACGATACGCTCATTAGTTTGCTATTTTTTTTTTCATAAACAGCAACACACCATCTGTTATAAATCTTAATAGCTGTCAAAGGAGATCGTATTTCGTATTAATTAAAGGTGCGCGCAAGCGTAGCCGGAGATAAATTATGTATATCCACATTTCACTTGTTGTAGTCGCATTTAGGCTGGACTCACACTGTATTATAGTGTGAATGCTAACTAAAACGATCATAGTTCCTTATCAATCCAAGACAATTCAATTCAATCATTTATTGCTATTTCATGTTGTAACAATATAGGTCTTAAACTATTAAAGGCAAAGAATCAACATGAACCCTGCACATTTATATTTATACATGTATAGTCGATTAACACAAAATAAATAAAACATTATTACATTAAAACAAAACAAATAGATACAAATACAATTAAATTTTCTCATTGAAAAATTCGTGCAGTGTATGTATAACTTTTTGTAATTAAATATTTTTTAGGGCTATTTTAAACTCCAATCCAATCCAATCTTGGTGTGCTAAAATATTATTACTTCAGAAACAATATAAGTATTTATACTATTTGTACAGTTTATTTCCGTTTCAGTCGGGATCAATCAGGAAGTATTTCTAACGGTGATAGAAAAATAAACACATTAAAAAATATACAATTTAATTATAAATTATTGTAATTCCAATAGGTAATTAAACAGTAAACAAGTTACACAAGTATTCAAATTAATATAAAAATTAGTAATAATAGTTTTATTTATATATATATATATATATATATATATATATACATTATTTCAAGATCTCTACGTGAATTTATTACAATTATTATATTTGATTGCCATCATGCAACTCTATTGTGGCACATAAATTCGCGATTGAAAAACAGGGGTTGATCGTAAAAGCGTGAAAATTTGGAGTTGTATGTATTTTTCAATTCTAAATTATATATATATATATATTAGGCACACTCAGTAACAGTAAAAAAGTATTCATTAAATATACGTAATAGAACAACCACAGAACAACACTTCACTATTTTTTTTAATGGGTGATAATGGAATGGTAACCCCGCCTGCGCTATCAGTATACTCGTACACTGGCGGGGTACTAGTGAAGAGTGACAGATGAGGATGAAGGCAGGTCAGTTGGCCCATAGTAACCAATTGAACAAGAATTAACCACCAATGGGAACCGCGTGGAGGTTGACCTAATAGGGTGTATTGCTAGCAATGGGCCTGCTAAATCCCATCACTAATGACTTTCCCCCTCCCCTTTACTATTAGGTATTGGTGAGGGCATAGGAGGGAATGTTAATCGCCAGCGTTCTCTATATACATATGTGATTGCACTCGACCCCCTAGAAATCCAGCAGAGCCTAATAGAAGTCAAGTTAGTTATTCCATCGACGGCCAACTAACCCAACCATGGCTTGAACTAGATGATCTAATTTATCATCTTAGTTATATATCACCATGTGTACTTCGGTGTTCACCTTGGACCTCTATTGTTCATACTATTTTTCTCACTGCAAGACTCCAGAGCGTTAAAAGTAAATACAATAGACGATGTATGTAAGTAAATTATATGTAAGTGTAACATAATAACTGCTTACTACTATTTAAAACGTCGATAAAACTCGGTTCGTTTACTTCTAATATGCATATCCACTGTTTCATATTGTATGCATACGAAACACTATTAGAACGTCTCGTGCTACTTTCTGCTTCTCTCGTACCGGCAACTCTTTTCATTTAAGAGTCTCCTTTTGTCGGTGCAACTAATAACTAATTCATGCATCTTCCTCCAGCCAGCTCTATCCTAGGCCATATCCTTTATCTCCCTATACGACATGACGCCTAGTGTTTCATTTATTTGTCCCATTTAGTTAATCCTCGGTCTTCCTCTTCCTCTTTTGCCCTCTATAAAAAGATTAAACGAGAAGAAAACATTGATTGAAATAATAAAGAATAGAAGAGGCAAAATGCTGGGCCACCTTATACGACATGACGATTTTTTTAAGAGCATAATAGAAGGAAAGATAGAGGGCAAAAGAAGAGGAAGACCGGCAACTCTATACCTGCCGTAATCTAATATTTCCGTAATTTGAAATGTCTCTTTATAGAGACGCATAAGTTTAATACTCTGTCAATCGTTCGAGTAGCTTGATATTTTAATAACTACCAAGTCCCTAGTGTCGCAAAAGAAAACCTTTTTGCAAAAAAGTTGCATCAAAGGTTGCCTTTAGAATTAAACAATTGCTACCTATATCGAAGAAGGCTTCGAATGCATAATTATTAAGAAAAAAAATCTTATAAAACTTTTGTTTACTTTTCTATTCATTTATCATGTTTGCTTCCACATCAGTGATACTTTTCTGTTTTATTTAGTTTCACACGCTTTTTCTAAATGTCTTATCTTTCCACATGCAGAACAGCCCTCATTACCTTTGACAGTACAATAATTTCTATTATGGTCCATTTCACCACAACGGTAGCAAGAATAGTACATTACTGCAGCGGCCAGCAACTGAGGCTTTGATGGACGAACTTGCAAATGTGGGCGGAGGCGCAGCTGAAGCACACATACGTGAGTCCATCAATGCCTAGTTGTGGCCAAGGCTTGTATAGTACTTTTCTCAAACGATGCGAGGAAATCAAAAACACAATTTTACTTTTTAAGTTCAATGACGAATAACGAATAATAATAATTTTTCACGCGCCATAATGTTCCTTTGTTTTTTTTTCAATAAATAATTTTCTATTTGCAAGCCAGTTCGAAATTTAAATAAAACCTTTTATTAGTTACCTTCTTGGTAGACATGTTTCGAAGTAAAAGGTCATTACATTTTTAAATTACAGGACAGATATGAGTTAACATAGTAATTTATCTGGCCGCAAAACACGACAGTTATGGATTTTCATTACAGATGGGCAAAGCACCGGGTTTAAACCCGGTGCTTTGGTAAAAACCCAATAAACACCCATAAACTCCCATAATCACCCAAAAAAATAGGTTTTTACGTATTTTTTTGAAAATATGTAAGTAATACCAATAAATTATTTTTATAAATTGTATTGATCAATTCTACAATATTAAATAAAACGTTAACTAATAATATTTCAGGAAATTTTAAAAATCTATATATAATAAAATGAAAGTAATTAATTTTCAGTGTTTTCATGTTGCAGTTGATCAACATGTTGGCCTTTTGCTTCCCGTAGATACTTTAAAATTTCTTCATAACACCTCGTTCGCACACATGGCCGTATATATTTAAATTCTTGAGCCACTAACAGTCCGAAATACTCATTTCTTTTATCCTCTTCTCCATAAATTAAGCATTTAGAACAGTTTGTTTCTTCTTTCAGTAAATTTTCTTTTACTTTATCCTCGTTTTTTTCTTTGTTGCGACGACGCTGGGTAAATCATCTGGACACTGGGTCTCACTATCGCCAAATATATTTGGAGATCGGCTTCGGCTACGGCTTGGCAGACATTTTTTTCTTTCTACAATTTTAAATTAAATTTATTAGAATAAATGCTTCGAACACACGCGATCTACTCGTAAGTACCTTTTGTGTTTATTATACCTTACCTACCTAGGTATAAAAAGAGTACTTACGTAGATTTTCTTTTATTAACTGTTTTATACGAAGATCTTGATCTCTCAAATTAGCATCCATTTTACTTCCAGTGATTATCAACTAAATTAATAATCCACAAAGTATTAAATAACGTTTTTATGAAATATTTAGCACAAAAACAATACCCTTTAAATATCGATCGTCAGTAACTGTGGCTGACTTACCTATATTCTAGCAAGCAGGACTGCCAGATGTGAAGGGGAAATCCCCAATAAATTGTTGCATGTGACTGATGATGTGAGCATGTTCGTTTCATAATAAAAATGTTGCCAGGTAACCAAAAAGTCGTATGTTTTTGTGCGAATTACGATCATAATCTTTACGATCGTACATTAAAAAATAGACAAATAATAGTATGAGTACGATTTAAATCGTATATCTGTCAACCCTGCTAGCAAGACAGCGACAAAATCACGTTGCATAACAATGTAGCCCAAGCTTATATCTTATGAAATATACGGAAGAGATACGGACTTAGAAAAAACAGAAATGTTGTTCTTTGTGGAAGTCATTGATGAAATTCTATGTATTTTAGCCCGCAAACTTTCTTCAAACAAAAACAGCGCCATCTAGTATCGAGTTCTGTAATTATCTCTTTGTTTATGGATTTGAAGTAAGACCGCCACGCATGCAATACATTATGACTGGGGATTCCCCTATTCGTCGACGCTGAATATGAGGCGACGACAATCACTGTCAAACGTGTTCACTATTACTCTGACTCTGGTAACGTGACTTCCTGGTAACGTGTTAGGTAGGAAAAGCAGTAAAAAAGTGCATATTAAGGGAGCAGATTTGAAATAATATTTATACTTAACAAGAAATAATTAAAGGTAAGTGGATTTTTGAATGATACAATTATATCATGATCACTTAACAATTTTAACTTAAAATTAGATGTATTATTACAAGCTTTTATTTAGCTTGCGTTATGTAAATAAAAGTATGTAGGTATGTTCGTATGTTGATGCAATTATCCTCAATCCTCAACCGACTGGGATAAAATTTTCCATACACGTTTATTTTGGATGATAGTGCATAGTTAGCTGAGAGTCGTCATTGGATAATAATGGTGGATAGCCTAAGATGTGTACTAGATATTTATTTTTAACATAATATGCGTAAGTACCTAATCGAATTAAAGAAGTTGCTGAGAAAAATACAGAACAATACGATAATAAACTAGCGTCTGCGTTTAATCCTCCGAGGAGATGTAATTTTACAAAGGTTTTTTGTATTTATTTTATTATTTTTTTAATAAATTTATTGTAAATAACAAGAAATAATCATTGTAAAAAAATAGGCACTCTATTGTTGAATTTTCGTCAGACCAACTAATCATCGTTCATTTTTTTAGGTTCAATGGGGAGACCTAAAGATTTACGCATATGGGAGCACTACCGTACTTTACCAAACAAGTCTGTTTCTTGCAAGCTTTGTAATAAGGTCTACAAATTCAGTAATGCTGCCAAAATGCTTCAACATCTTATCACTTGTCCAAAATCTCCAGAAACATTAAAAGACTCTATGAAACTTATAAAAGATAGCTCGTCCAAAACCAAAATGTCTGGACTGTCAGAGATAGAGACAAATGATTCTTTTATAAGCCCCTCGTCGTCTGCTAACACTACAATAAATGCTGAGTTTCAAGACACCGATGATCATATAAAAACAGAATTAGCGAGAGCTATATTTGTAACAGGGACGCCATTATCGATGGTGCAACATCCTTTATGGATACAATTTTTCGAAAAATTGCAACCAAAATTTAAAATACCTTCACGTAAAGCTTTAGCGACAAAATACTTAGATAAAATATATAGAGAAATGCGTTTTGAGTTAAATGAGGAACTAAATGCTTGTAGTTACTTACACCTTCAGTGCGATGGCTGGTCTAATTTAAGAAATGAAGGAATAATAAACTTTCTTATATCAAAACCTCAACCTGCATACGTTAAAAGTTTGAATACAGAAAGTAATCCTCACACTAGTGAATACCTTAGCCAAGAAGTTGAAAAAGTAATGAAAGTGTATGGAGCAAATAAGTTTCTTGTACTTATTGGCGATAACGCTAGAAATATACAAAAGGCATTCGAATTAACAAAACTCAAATATCCACATGTTGTTCCTCTCGGTTGCTGTGCACATATCCTTAACTTGTTGTGCCAAGATATTGTAAAGATACAAGAAGTAACTGTGTTTATTATGCAAGCCATAAATATAATAAAAACTGTTAAAAGGAGTCAACGATTAAGTTCCTTGTTGATAAAATCAAGGCAGGGTGAAGATTCTACACAAACACTAAAATTGCCTTGTGCTACAAGATGGGGAAGTCATGTTACTTCGTTAAAAAGTTTGAAAGCAAATAAGATAGCTTTGCAAATATTAACAGTTAGAGAAGATGTGGTAATTTCAAGAGATATTAAAGATTTAATTCTAAGTGATGATTTCTGGACGAAGACAGGGGAATGTATAAGTATTTTGGAACCAGTCACTGAAAGCATATTTTACTTAGAGAGCGACCAGAATCGTTTGCATCGCACATACATTACATTTAGAGATGTACAAGCTAAGATACGTTTTGCATTAAATGAGATTTCGACATTGAGCGAAGAAAGCAAACAGCAGATTCTAACATCAGTATCTTCAAGATGCAATATGGCAATGAGGCCAATACATTTTGCAGCATATATTCTAGACCCCAGGACTCTAGGAGTCGAACTTACTCAAGAGGAAGAACTTAAGGGTATGGAGTTTATCTACAAATTAAGCCAACACTTAAGTTTGTCAAATGTAATGGCAGATTTGGCGTGTTATAAAGCTAAAGAAAACTTTTGGGCCAGAGGATTTGTATGGAGCTCATTAGATAGCATTGAGCCCCTAATATGGTGGAAAGGTATTTGTGGTTCCACTGAGTTAAGCAAAGTAGCGATTCGTATTCTATCAGCTCCCTGTACTTCGGCAGCCACTGAGCGTTCCTTTAGTATCCAAGGCTACATACATAATAACAAAAGAAATCGACTTACAACTGAAAGAACTGAAAAAATTTCATTCATTTGTTATAACTGGAAACTTAAACATAAAGCTGAATGCGAGGACATTCAGTTTAATGAAGAAAATACCTTAGAAGCTTTCATTGAGCAAGTAAATGAACATAACAGTTTAGACGAAATAGAGCCTATCGAACCTATACAATTCATCGCTTGTAATAACTCTGAATCTGACAGTGATTGACTGTAGTTTTACATTTTACTTTCATCTCTTTCTTAATAAACTCAAAATCAAATTAAAAGTTTTTTATTCTGTAGGCTGCATAATAATATTGTCTATGTCCAGTATAGTGGACGTCTTGCGGCTGAGATGACGATGATGAAGTACAAAATCATAAACACCCAAAAATTTGGGTGTTTATGGGGTTTAAACCCAATAAACCCAAAACACCCGGTTTTTACCCACCAGACTTTAAACCCACCCAGGTGGATTGCCCATCTCTAATTTTCATACAACTTTTGCTGGCCGCTGCCCGCATGTATTTGGCCAGTACGGCAATTTTGATTTATCTCGAAGAAGATTGTCAAAATAATGCTCACATTTCCAAGCATGTTTGAGAAAATGGTATTTAAACCAATTGTATTATTAGTGGAACATTGGGCCCTTATAAAGTTTTATTTGTTATCTAAAGTCGATGGTGTACTTTGTACTTCTCAACTTAAAGATTTTATAACTGATTCATGAGAAATACTTTTATCAGGAAGAGAAGAAATTGTGAATGTGTCTAGTTGATAGTGTCTAACTGACCCATTGCTACGCTACGAGCAAACACAGTGTAGGACGACCCCTCACTAGATGAAGAGACGACCTGAAATGCATTGCAGGAAGTCAGTGAACGCAGGTGGCTCAGGACCGTTCCTTATGGCAATCTATGAGGGAGGCTTATATCCAGCAATGGACGGATAATGACTGAAATAATGATGATGATAATGCAAAATTACCATGTGGTCCCGGCATAGAATAGGTCACCCCTTCCTTTCCCGTGGGTGTCATAAGAGGCAACTAAGGGAGCCTAATAGTCGACGGATGGGCAACAACGTCGCTCTTAAAACATCTCTACAGACTAACTGCGATTGTCAATCCGCCTGCCAAGCGAAGCTCTTACAGCGTTAACTCCACTGTCATACTTTGGTATGAATGCTCTAAATTGAAACTTAAATATATAAATTATACAAACTTATCACATTATAAATAAATTTTATCTTCCCGTCATTAGTGGCTACAAAAGGTAATCAAATATTATAATCGAATTAGGTCTTACACACCCCAAATATGCAATACACAACAGCGGTAAATATGGAATAATAACACATCAATACGTATTTGTTACCAAGTGGTCCCGGCATAGAATGAACTCTTACTTTCTTACTTAATACATATAAAATGTTGCATGCCAAACTGGCTGAATGTCATGGTTACACAGAATGTATAATGTTACCTAAACTTACCACATTCATCGCAATAAATTTCATTTCAATTTTAATTTAATTTCAATTTCCCCTGGGTGTCTTAAGAGGCGACTAAGGCAACTTGATAGTAAAGGCATAGGCAGCAGCGTCCCTATTAAAACATCACCGAAGCCTAACTGCGGTTGCCAACCTGCCAAGCGTGATAAATACTGACAAAACCCCCCAAAGGGGAGACCTATATTCAGTATTGAACAGTTAACGGTTGGATATGATCATGTAGTTACTCTAAGACAAACACTAAGCTATCTAAAGGAGGACTCATGAGTCTCCGAAGCCAAAGAGTATGCATAACTCGAATTATGAAAGTTGATAAAGCAAAAAAAGTATGTGTATGTAAGCGTATAGATATATACTTAGATACTCCAATATAGATAGATAGATACTCTTTATTGTTTCCTCCAAAAGATTACAATAGTAAACTTATTATAGATACAAACAATTACAAAAAATAGTCACAATGAGAAAACAATGGGCGGCCTTATCGCTAAGAGCGATCTCTTCCAGGCAACCTTTGGATGGAGAGGAGTAATTATAAACAATTTGGTGAGAGGCACGATGAAAAATTCTGTTAGTTCTAAATATGGGAGATGTAATACATATAATAATATAAGTAAATAGATATAGCTTATAGCAGTCGGTTCCCTCTCTCATGCCAGAAATTTGTAATGATAGATTGGCATTACATTAAAATTGTGTTCCACGAAAAAACCGACTCCGATTGTGGTAAAACTAATTATTTTAAATTGAAACTAAACTACTAAACAGATTTTGATAAAGTTTCTATGGAACCAATCTGTAAGTATATCCTTTCAGACAAAAAAGAATTCATGGTACAACTGACGTAGTTATGAGTCTTTAAAAAAATACATGTTTTATTAAACATTAAATAAAAATACAACGTAACTGAGAGCCTCCTTTTTCAAAGTTGGTTGATAATATAATGAGGTTATTAGAACCATATTTCGATCATTACAAATGTAGTGAACACATTCGAAGCTCACATTTCGCCGAGTTTACGAATCATGAATGTATCAGATTTCAACACAGTAGGAAATTATGCATGTATGTTATGTATTTTAACATTAAAAATAATATTAATAACTAGTTTTTGCCCGCTACTTCATACGTATGAATTTCACAAGGAAAAAAACGAAACACACTAGATTTTAAGACGAAACAACTGTGAAAACCGCATCCAATTTGATGTAGCAATATACGTGATGCCGAAACAAAGATACAGGCTGTATCGATAGGATATTATAGACAGACTATATAGGATAGGATAGATAGACAAAATTTGTAAAACATATGGAATTGGAAGAAACCATTCCATTAATGCATGATTAATGGAATGGTAACCCCGCCTGCGCTAATGGTATACGCTGGCGGGGCACCAGTGAGGGATGATAGGTGAATAATGAAAAAAGCAGGTCAGTCAGCCCATCGTGATGAATACACCTGGAGCTCAGCACGATGATTTCCAGGGAGAACCGCGTGGAGGTCGACCTGACAGGGTATACTGCTAGCAATGGGATTCTCAGTCTCCATTACTAACAATCCCTTTCCCCCTTTTAGCCGACGGTTACTACCATGATAATCATTACACATCAGATAGACTGCCATCTTGTCTACCATTCTTGATTACATAAAAGATCCGAATTCCCTTTGACACCGTTACTTGAAATGATATCACGCACCGTGACCTAAATGAGATTCGCTTATGAAATATATATGTTACAGCCAAAACTCTTAACCAGTCAAAAGCACTATTGACTAGCAAACTCAGTTAAAAGTACTTTTGACTGCATGCTTCAGTCAATAATACTTAAAAGGCTTAAAAGTACCTAACCTAACTTAACCTAACCGCAAATTTGCAGTCAAGACTACTAATAAACAATAATTTTCAATCAAAACCACTTTTGACCAAACTGTTCAGTCAAAAGTACTTTTGACTGGGGGAAAAGGGATTGTTAGTAATGGGGTAAAATTTTTTTTTATACAACTTAGAATGGCAAACAAGCTGACGGCCCACCTGATGGAAAGTGGTAACCCTCGTCTATAGACATGAGCAGTACCATGGACATAACAGAGTTTACTGTTTCGTCCATGATACCCCTCATGCGTTGCCATTCCTGAGGACTCGGGTATTATTCCTCTGTACCCAGTAAATTCACGCCATATCCCACCCTTCAAACCGAAACACAGCCATGCAAACACAACTGCTTCACGGTAGAAACACGAATGGGACAGAGGTACCCAAGCAATCGACTTTTGTACAAAGTCTCCCTCTGATAATAATCTGATAAAATAGCCCCATTACTAGCAATATACCTTGTCAAGTAGACCTCCACGTGATTCCCCTTGGAAACCATCGTGGCTAATTCTTGTTGAATTTGTCAGGATGGGCTAACTGACCTGCTTACATCCTCACCTAACATCCTTCACTGGTGCCCCGCCTGTGTATACCGATAGCGCGGGTGGGGTTACTATTTCATTATCACCCATTAAAAAAGTACTTTTGACAGATTTTGCTAGTCAATAATACTTTTGACTGGTTAAGAGTTTTGACTGAAACATACAATCAATCATTTCGCCTCGCAAAACTGGTTAGAGAACGTGAGATCAGCGTTGATAAGATAATGATTTGGTCACATTAAAACATTATATTTACACTCGCTGAAATGAACAGATATCTGCACAAACATGTGGCAAACATACAAGCAAACATCACTTTTCAATAATATTACGATAGGGTTTATTACCATTTGGCATCAACTTGTGAGAATTGAAATTAAAATGAAAAAAAAAAAACACTGTAATAAGTAAAATGAGATTTGCAGGTTTTCATGATGATGACATCAGCCGTTACTGTCCACTGATAGACGTAGGCCTCCTCTATAAGCTAGGTTTTGCCAGTAGTTGCTATCTTTGACAACCGCAGTTAGTCTTTGGTAATATCATAAGAGAGACGTTGCTGCACACCGCTCGATCATTTATTTATTTATACATTAGTACAAATATGTGTACATGGTGGACTTAATGCTAAAAGCATTCTCTCCCAGTCAACCATAGGGAAGTGTCAGAATTCTCGAATGCGGTACTACTAATTATTGATATACATACATACTAAAATTACATATATACACGAATAAATATATATGAATAACAAATATACTTACACATATATGACATATACTATATTATACACGAATTTGAGAATAATATAAAGCATATCATTAAGTTCCCTTAGTCGCTTCTTACGATACCCATAGCAAAGGTGTGGTTCATTCTATGCCGGGACCACACGGCGTAAAAGGTTTCTGTTCCTATGAATACCTGATTAATCTTCTGGCCTACGTAATGTAACGCAGTATCAGTGGGAGACTTTGTACAAAAGTCGTTTGCTTGGGCACCTCTGTCGCATTCGCGTTTCTACGTGAAGCAATTACGATTGCATGGCTGTGTTTCGGTTTGAAGGGTGGGATATGGCAGTGAATTTACAGGATACAGAGGAATAACACCTGAATCCTCAGGAATGGCAACGCATAGGAGGTATCATGGGCGAAACACGATACTCTGTTATGGTCATGGTACTGCTCATATCTATAGGCGACGGTTACCACTTTCCCTCAGGTGGGCCATCAGTTTGTATGCCATTTTAAGTTACATAAAAATAATAAGTATAAGGTATGCCATAAAGTTCAGTATATTCTATACTATCCATGGTGATTTTCATGTCTAGTTACCACATACAACTATCGATCAAGCAGGCTGACACCTTGTTTATCATTGCCAAACAAAAACGAGGTTTTATTTTGATTCGATAAAGTGAGTTACATCGTGTACATTCTAAAAATATATGAAGCAACTTCGCACCAAGCTCTTTAAGCCAAGCAGTTAGATACTCACAATTATGTTCATTTAAAAGCTGCCTATTTCCCGCGGCTTTGCCCGCGTAAATTAATATAGAAAGTATTCTATGTGTTAAGTTAGGATATAACCTAGCCGTGTACTAATATTTCATTTAAATCAGTTTAGCCGTTTAAGAGTGATTAAGTAACAAACATACAAAAATAGAAACTTTCAAATTTAAAATA